AATGTCATACTTTGACGGATGGGTCAACTGCACGGGCAGTCAATACTCAAAGAAGGGACCGAACATAAATGGCTTTCGAATGCTATTTTTGAAACTCATAGGACAGCGTGTGTCCATATAACCCACAAAACATACCCAGGGGTCAGTGAATATGAAATGTACCCTTGTTGGGTGTTTTTTTTCTTCTTAGCCTAGTGGGTTTACTGTTATTTTTCTCTGGTGAAATGATACACGAAGTATTGTTCCATGATTTGTTTTCAAGAAATAAACCAGCTGACTGGGTGTAAGGATATAGGACATCTCTGAAAGTGCATGCAGTCAGGTTAACATTTCGCCTGAAAATTCCAACAATCCAAATATTAATGGGAAAAACACATTTGTAGGCCAAAGGTTGACGAATTAAAATGTAAATTTTAATGAAGCCAGACCCCTATATTTATTTATATCATTAATTTATGATCGTCTACAATACAGCACAATGGCGCACGGTGAGTTTTATGCGATGCTGCAGGTGCTGCGATTAATGGGCCCCATGATTTTTGCGGAGTGCTCTGGCCTATAAACACAAGGTGGAGCCAGCAGTATTTGCTGAACTGGTCCGATGCCCCTCATGAGACTTGAAGTCGAAACCAATCCAGAGTTCATCTTATACAAACTCTGCTGGAAACCATTGCTCAATATAACCCATAGGATGTTGCACAAGCTAATGCAAAATGTAAATTCTGTCATAACTTAAATCCAAATAAACTGAACAGTGTTTTAGAATGAAGCATCAGCTATCATCTATCCACTGCTGGATAAAGGCCGACCCAAACTGCTGCTATCTCTCATGGGCTTGGGATGCAATACGCCATCTAAAAACCTCCACATGAGCCGATTCATCTTTCCATCTCCACAGTAAATGTCCTCTGAGGTGTATTCCCTCCCTTGGCCACCACTGTACCGTTGTTCGCAACCACTGGGCTATCTTCCCTTCGAGTATCGTGTCAACAGCCAATATGACATCCCCAACTCGCATAGATCCTGGAGAGAATTATAAAGGCACGGAGAGTTTCATGCTTATAATTAATACAGTCCATAGTTACAAATCACAATGTTGTGAAGATAACATTCCCCAACACCTATAGACTTAAAAGATAATTATGCCAAAATTGCAGTGCTGGCAAACACATTTAATAGCTCAGATACAAGCGTAACATAAATTGCTACCACTTAACAATAAACGGTAGTAAACAACTGCATGGCTTCTGTGTGTGCACTTTAGCGCGACGTTTTCGCTGAATCGCAAAAGCGATGAGTAACACGGCGATGAAAGAAGCCTGAAAAGATTTAAGATTGCGATGCATTTTGGAATAACGGCTTCCTCCAGCTGCATTCGTTGCAAGTAAAAAGGTTCATCAGAGGGTGTTTGAAAAGGTGCAGCGGCTCTGCAATTGCTTGCTGGCAGAATGGCCTCCTCCATAGGGAGCCCTTGGACGGCCGTCGTGGGTATTTGGCCTTCTCTTTCACGCCGGCCAGACATCCTGGAAGAGGCGAAGCTTATGTTTGCGTGAACAAACTACATATTCTTAGGTTTTTTTCGGTAAAGTCACGTAGGTAAAAAAAATAAATTAATATAAGTAAAATAAAAAAAATAAATCACGACGTTTCGGAGGCAACACAAGCTTCCGTCTTCAGGTGGAACCGTCACAGCACGATAGCTGTATCAAGTAAGAGAAATTCCAAGAAAACAGTCCTTGTATATATGTAAAGTAGTAACTCGGCGGGAGACGTCTTGACGGGTAGCACACTCTTTATTTTCACCAACTTGTAGTTACACGGATGACTAACACCCACTTCGTTGCACGGGTGACTAACACCCACTTAGCTACTCGGGTGACTCACACCCACTTCGTTGCACGGGTGACTAACACCCACTTAGCTACTCGGGTGACTCACACCCACTCATCTACACGGGTGACTAACACCCACTTCGTCGCACGGGTGACTAACACCCACTTAGCTACTCGGGTGACTCACACCCACTCAGCTACACGGGTGACTAACACCCACTTCGTTGCACAGGTGACTGACACCCACTTAGCTACTCGGGTGACTCACACCCACTCAGCTACACGGGTGACTAACACCCACTCAGCTACACGGGTGACAAACACCCACTCAGCTATACTGACACGGGCTCTTACGCCCCGTAGCCTTCCGGGACACACCCAGCCGGGGGTGCCCGTCTCGGCTCTGGGTACCACCGTCCCGACCCACACGGGCGTCGGACTACGGGTCCCCCAGTCTCGGCTCCGAGCCACACAGGGCCCCGGTCCTCCCAAGGACGGCGGGACTAGGGGTCTCGGGCCACTACCTCCTCCACCCCGTCTTCGGTCTTCAACTGGTTAACACTGACCACGAGTGCTCTCGCGCGTCTCCCTTTATACCCCTCCTGCGGACGTCGCTGAGAGCACCCACTTATCTGACCAATCACTGCGCACTCGCTACGATCCTCTTTTCCCAGCTTGTGTGAGCGCGCCTTACCACCGGCGCGCGCGTCCATGCCACGCCCACATCGCGTGCCCAACCCCGCGCCCCGTGATCCATCACTGTCGGCGCACGTCAATACCACCACTACATATATACTGGTTGAGGGTGGGAGGAGCCAAGGTAGGCCCTGAATATTATTTTTGTGAGGTTCGCTGCAGCTGAAGCACGCTGTTAGGAATGAGCCTTTGTTGTGTAAACTAGGTGCGGATGATGTAAAGGTGCGTGTAAATGGGACTGAGCCTTTTGTTATGTAGAGGTGGTGCAGCTGAAATCGCTGCCAGGAATGAAACGTCGTGATTTTTATTTTATTTTACTTTTATTAATTTAAATTAAAACATTTTACCTACGTGACTTTACCTAAAAAACCTAAGAATATGAATCCTTGCAGTCACGAAAGCTTAAAATCTAGAATGAACAAACTACGGTGAAAGTGCAGCCCTTGTAATTGCTTGCTCTCGTCGTTGCCGACGACAGGGCCTCGACGACAAAAACCTCTCGGCCAGCGTTTCTCTCAAACTTGTTTGGCCCGTGGACCACCCAGCCCACCCCACCGCTGGTGACAATACGCATTCACTGATCTCTCTAAATACCGGTCACACAAAACAACTCATATGAGCGGAACACAAAAAAAACATTTTTTTTAGGGCAAGGCATTTATATGTTAGGGTTAGATTCGTTTAATCAGGGTGGGTTTACCTAAATTAGTTTTGAAATGAAACGTTATAAGTGAAATTTTGATTAACGTCCGAAACAAAAGGTATAAACGTTGTTACTACAGTCCGAATCAACCTGCGTCTGCATCACAGCCCCACGCACCACCTGGTGGACCATCGCGGACTACCGGTGGGACCAGGAACCGCACTCTGAGAACCACTGCCAGAGAGCCCCATCGAGAGGATATCGTGGCCTCATCTTCCACCTTGGCCAGGTTATCACCGTAGATATTGAAGCACCCACACTTTACCCCACCACTCGCGAACTGACGACCGACTGTGCTCTGCACACAGATACTGCTGGACGGACAGTCATGGACGGGCGGGTGGGTGTTGGGGATTTAAGAAACTTGCCACTTGTTTCAACAACAGCCGCGCCAGGAGATCGACCTCTGCATTGCAAGTCCAGTGCGCTCGCCATGACATCATTGTCTACACGTGCTCTCACGGTGATAAACACATCGATCCCCATAAAGCAAGGTCACATTGGGCCGAAATCAAGGCACTCGTCATCCCCGTGTGAAGTGTCCGCCGTTTCCAAATATGTTCCGAGTTTGTATTTTTTTTGGGTTGTTGTGTAAAACGCGCAGGAAGCTGTTTCCCCTCTCCCCCTGTCAGTGTCATCCCGGATTTTAAAAGGGCCACACATTCTCGTGGGAGTCAGTCTGCTGAAAAGTTCAACGTTCAGTCGTGCATGAGACACTCCGGAGTGTTATAGAATTATTGACCAGAAGCAATGACCTTTTCCCATCTGGAGGTCCAATCAATACATTCAGTAACGTTTTACTGGCTGCATTTAATGGCTTGAAACAGTGTCGTTTATGTATAATGGTATGAAAGGCAAGGCACGGATAATTAGTTTTTAAAACTATGACCGATGGTGTGATTCTCATTTGAGAATAATTGTTTACATCATCCTTAGATTCATCCGGATATTATTTAATGTGACCTCCAGATCACGTCTCTATAATGACTGGACTTTTATTTACTTTGTAAAGCCTATATAATACTCGATCATAATCATTCCTGCCATAAAACTAGATGATATTATCGTGCCCCCAATACATATTTCTTTATCACATTATAACAGTTTTTGTTGTATTCGTTTCGTTCAAAATTGTCAAGTATTTTGGTGATCCACTGCTGGATGAAGGCCTTCCGATGCAGCTTCGCATGGCTCTCTTACATCGCGTTGGGCGTAGCATAGACACGTCATTTATGCCTGTATTTCTCCCTCGCATAGTTCGCAGGAGTTCATAGGTTCGATCCCGGACCCTGACGATGCCTGTTGCCTTTGTATATTTGGAATTCCCGTGTTCCATATCTCTCCCGTGGTGATCACGTGGATTTTTTTCCCCCGGGTTCCCCCCTCCACGTTTAGAAACAACGTGCGTCTTAAGATTATTTGGCTGCGGCTGCTTACGATACATTCCCACGTGTGTTGACGATCTTATCAGCCACTTCGATGAGCCACCACGTGTGGCCAGGTCGATTCTGAAAAATAATAACTCGGCGGGGACTATACATGTTCAGTGAAAAAAAAAGTCGTTCAGGTTAAAATATCTCTAGGGGTCAGTCGGGTTTCTCTCTCTCAATTCTGTCGCAACGTCAAACTCACTTTTGTTACCGGGTGCCTACCCCCGACACACAACGCACTCGCCGCACAAATTCCCGCGATCCGCTCATGCGCATCGCAATGTGAGGCTGAAACTTTGCATCACTCCACCCCTCGAGCAAAACCTCCCGGGCGCTGACCTGAACAGGTGCGCCGTGCTGGTGGTGGTCACCGCTGCCGGTCCCCATCTCCACCCAATCCAGCTCATCTCCTCCTCCGACTCCTCCGACTCCTCCTGACGCTCCATCTCCCGCTCCTGCCAGACGGCTCTGCTCAACTTGCTCCGGTGTTCCCCACGCTTCCACGGGGCGGCTAGCGACAGAGCCACCTGCTGGGTCCACCTCTTCGGGAGCCACGGGTGCCACCCCGGCCCTGCATGAGCCCGGGGCCACCAGCCGCGGGGATCCACGTCCGTCGAGCCCTCGCAGTCCCTCCGGCATGACCGCCCGATCCTGCGCCGCCTGTGCCCCCGGCCGCTTGCCCAGTCGTCAGTCTCCACCCCTCGTCTGTCTCGCTCTCCGTGCCGGTCGGGGTCCCCTTCCACGAGAGGGAGGCCTTCTGTCCTCGCAACCGCAAGCACACGCGGCATCAAGAGGCTGGCACGTGAGCGCCACGGGGGCTTGGAGTGATCTGCTCGGTACCGCATGGGATGACAACAGCTACTAGTGTCCAGAATCTGCGGAAACTTTAGCATATATACGCGCGCACACTTAATTGTTATTTTTGTTATATTCCAGAGACCATTGGTTCACAACCTCTCTGGGCCTGTGGATTGCTGTCAAACGTCACAAATGTTGCGTGGGACGACTCTGCACCAACAAAGTTATACAACATTATGAGGACTCGCAAGCAATTGGCAGTCAGTCAATAATAGCCAGTGGTGAGCACCAGTGGTCCATTGACCACAGGATGGGAACCATTGCTGGAAATCTATCATCCACAATTTTTGTTCACGAAACGATATTTTCTGTAAAACCTACTACGGTACCTTTCTTTGAGATATTTTTGTTCATATACAGCTGCTATGTCGACCTTGCCATCATCCATATTTTAATCTACAATATTATATGCTTAACAATCAATGTTAGATTTCGATTTAAAGCTTTCGTGACTGCAGGGATTCATCTTTTTGGTTCTTTCGGTAAAGTCACGTAGAAGGGAAGTAATAAAATAATAAAAATAAAACATAATAAAATTATTCTCACGACGTTTCGGCCACAACGCAAGTAGCCGTCCTCAGGTGAGGACGGCTGCTTGCGTTGTTATTTTATTATTTTATTACTTTCCTTCTACGTGACTTTACCGAAAGAACCAAGAAAATCAATGTTAGCATTTGCCGCTATTGGTAGTTCCGATAAGCCCCTTTTTGCTTTTGAGTGGAATTTATTTGTGACACAAATTATTCCGTTGAGCCATTTTCCCGGCCAATATTTCATAGGCGAGATCCGTGGTGCATTAAGCAGACCAGCAAAACAATACGAAAAAAGCACCAATGGCTCAGTGGGTATGAGATCTCTCATTTCCATGGCTGCATTTTCTTCAGGGGAAAAAGCAGTCGTCAAAGCAGGCATTCATAACATGCCAGACGGCGGGAAGGTGTTCATAACAGGTGAAAGCATAAAGCGAGCAATCATTACGAGAGGGGCAGACTTTCAGAATAAGCCAGAGCAGATGTCTGTAATAGGGGGGGGAAGGGAATTCCAGGGGCAATGTCAGAGGGCACAGAAGGGCGCCGAAAGCTCCATCTACATCAAGCGACTGTGCTTACGCTGTGTATAATAAAAACACCGATAAAACTGCATATCCCAGCACGTACATTATTGCAGATATCACAGCAAGAAAATGGGCGTACGATAGCAGCAGAAGCAGCAGCGAAAATAACGTTGTCGATTGAGAAATCACAAATGGTGGTCATTGAATTATATAACTAGCTTTTTTGCCCGTCCAAGGACGGGTGTATGTATATTGCAGTACATCTGAAACATGCAATAGAAAAATTGTTCAGCTCATGATTACTAATGAAGGGGGGAGGGGTTGCTCCATGTGGAGTGACGTCACCCGCTAATGGTTATTGTGGAGGGGTGCTGCATGTGGAGTGACGTCACCCGCTAATGGTTATTGTGGAGGGGTGCGGCATGTGGAGTGACGTCACCCGCTCATGGTTATTGTGGAGGGGTGCGGCATGAGGAGTGACGTCACCCGCTCATGGTTATTGTGGAGGGGTGCTGCATGTGGAGTGACGTCACCCGCTAATGGTTATTGTGGAGGGGTGCGGCATGTGGAGTGACGTCACCCGCTCATGGTTATTGTGGAGGGGTGCGGCATGAGGAGTGACGTCACCCGCTAATGGTTATTGTGGAGGGGTGCGGCATGTGGAGTGACGTCACCCGCTCATGGTTATTGTGGAGGGGTGCTGCATGTGGAGTGACGTCACCCGCTAATGGTTATTGTGGAGGGGTGCTGCATGTGGAGTGACGTCACCCGCTAATGGTTATTGTGGAGGGGTGCTGCATGTGGAGTGACGTCACCCGCTAATGGTTATTGTGGAGGTGTGCGGCATAAGGAGTGACGTCACCCGCTAATGGTTATTGTGGAGGGGTGCGGCATGTGGAGTGACGTCACCCGCTAATGGTTATTGTGGAGGGGTGCGGCATATGGAGTGACGTCACCCGCTAATGGTTATTGTGGAGGGGTGCTGCATGTGGAGTGACGTCACCCGCTAATGGTTATTGTGGAGGGGTGCTGCATGTGGAGTGACGTCACCCGCTAATGGTTATTGTGGAGGGGTGCGGCATAAGGAGTGACGTCACCCGCTAATGGTTATTGTGGAGGGGTGCGGCATGTGGAGTGACGTCACCCGCTAATGGTTATTGTGGAGGGGTGCGGCATAAGGAGTGACGTCACCCGCTAATGGTTATTGTGGAGGGGTGCGGCATGTGGAGTGACGTCACCCGCTAATGGTTATTGTGGAGGGGTGCGGCATATGGAGTGACGTCACCCGCTAATGGTTGTGGAGGGGTGCGGCATTTGGCGTGACGTCGCCCGCTCATGATTATTAATGAGGGGAGGGGTGTGGCATGTGAAGTGACGTCACCCGCTAATGGTTATTAATGACGGGTGCGGCATGTGGAGTGACGTCACTCGCTCATGATTATTAATGAGGGGAGGGGTGCTGCATGTGGAGTGACGTCACTCGCTCATGATTATTAATGAGGGGAGGGGTGCGGCATGTGGAGTGACGTCACTCGCTCATGATTATTAATGAGGGGAGGGGTGCGGCATGTGGAGTGACGTCACCCGCTCATGATTATTAATGAGGGGAGGGGTGCGGCATGTGGAGTGACGTCACTCGCTCATGATTATTAATGAGGGGAGGGGTGCGGCATGTGGAGTGACGTCACCCGCTCATGATTATTAATGAGGGGAGGGGTGCGGCATGTGGAGTGACGTAACCCGCTCATGATTATTAATGAGGGGAGGGGTGCGGCATGTGGAGTGACGTCACCCGCTCATGATTATTAATGAGGGGAGGGGTGCGGCATGTGGAGTGACGTCACCCGCTCATGATTATTAATGAAGGGAGGGGTGCGGCATGTGGAGTGCGTGACCTTCTTGTGCGTTCGTGTAAATTTCTACGCGGGCATGAATATTAATAGGGGGGGGGGGCTTTTTGCAGTGACGTCACACACAGACGTAGCAATGTGCTGCGTCGATGTATTTTTTACCGTCACTTTCTGTAAAGAAACGTCACATTTGAAGCGACTTTTGCGTAATAAATTATTTAATTTAGCACGACCTTCCTCTGCGTTCGTGTAAAAATCCACCCACTCGTGAATATTAATGAGGGGGGGTGGGCCTCATGTGGAGTGACGTCACGCGGGGGGGTGGGCCTCATGTGGAGTGACGTCACGCGGGGGGGTGTGCCTCATGTGGAGTGACGTCACGTGAGGGGCCTCATGTGAAGTGACGTCACGCACAGATATAGCACTGTGCTGCGTACATTAATTGTATACCGTCACTCTGTAAAGAAACGTCATGAATATTAATGAGGGGGGGTTGCCCCATGGAGTGACGTCACCTCTCATGGTTATTGGGGAGGGGTGCGATATGTGGAGTGACGTCACTCGCTCATGATTATTAATGAGGGGGGTGCAGCATGTGGAGTGACGTCACCACCTCATGGTAATTGTGGAGGGGTGCGGCATGTGGAGTGACGTCACCCGCTCATGATTATTAACTAGGGGGGTGGAGCCAAAGTGGAGTGACGTCACCCGCTCATGTTTATTAATGAGGGGGGGGGGGTGGAGCCAAAGTGGAGTGACGTCACGCGGGGGGGTGGGCCTCATGTGGAGTGACGTCACACGTGGGATGAACTTTTTACCCCCACATCTTTTTAGCCCCACATCAGGCCTTCTAGAAGGCTCTCATAATTTAGTTGACAGACAAACGGACAAATAGAACACCGGGCTTTCATAATAGATCGTTTAGTTTTATTTGTATATATATTTTTAGTAATTTGTTTATCTTTCCTAGACTTTGCACTCCTATTGTGTTGTTTTGTTGTTGTAACGTTCTGATCTGCCCCTACTGGACATCTGTGAAAGAGCTTTATAGCTCATCAGATTCTACTAGTAGAACACACATTCCTGCGGAGGGAGCTGGTAGGAACGTTGGGTTGCTCGGTCAATGGCCAGGGGCAACGGCGGCGTGGTGTATTCCGCAAATATGCCCGACTGTGAGGGCGGGCACAAGCCGGCGTGAGTAGGTTAAACGTTGAGTTTTATAAGGGAACCACGGGGTGACCAGCCCCTCCCCACCCAGCCCCTCCCCATCCAGCCCCACCCCACCCAGCCCCTCCCACCCAGCTCCTCCCCACCCAGCCCCACCCCTCCCATTTTTGGATGCACGACAGACGGACGGACACAATAATCCCCTGTGGGCTAGTGTAACCAGGAGGTTCCTATCAGTATAAAGATCCTGATTCTGAACCAAGCCTAAGCCAGCGTGTATTCTCAGACAGGCCCTCCATCCAAACGCTGTACTAACCAGGCTCAATCATGCTTAGCTCCTGAAAACTGATTACATTTGGCACATTCCAATGATTGTGATTGTACACAAAAGGTGGAGATGAAAATGCGGAAGTCCACTCACTGGACTTAACCAGGAGCGAAGTCTCAGAGGCAGGACTTGAGATGGGGCTTTGCCTTCAAGTCATGTGAACAAGACCCTGTTAGGAGCGGGGCAGTTCAGTTCATATTAGGTCTTATGTGAGCTGACACCCAAGTGTAAACACTGCCTATGTGTGTGCGTCTGTACCCCCCCCCCCAAACTCCAATCGATTGGAATAATTTAATAAACGAGCAAACAGCACGCGGTGGCCTTTGGTGTAAATCAAATTTTAGGTGGGTTACATGTTAACAAAAAATCCAATCATGGACTGTAATGGCCACAATATTACTCGCTTCAGTTATTTTGCGGGCAAATTGGAGATTGTGGAAGACTTCTCTACCTTCGCCTGCCACTAAGCAGTCACACAAGCAACAAGTTAACCGTTAAATGTGGCGTATGCGTTTATAGGGCAGCAATTATTCGGATGATCACAGTATACAACCAAATCGCATTCATGTTCAAACACGTTGGCATGTTGTACAAAAATCCCAGTACGAATTAACTGGCCATTTAAATAAACCAAACGCACGCTGCCCATATTTCCACATGGCTACAAGTGTTTACCAATCTAAGTGACTAAATATATAGTTGGATAATTCACGCAAGCACATTTAGCTCTGCGCACAAGCACAGCCATGTACGTCTCTGCCCCTGCCCGAGCCACCGCGCTCTCTCACACACTAAAAAAAAACACACCACTGGATATTCTCTCTCGGGAATTGCCTTAAACTGCATAAATCACACTCTCACTGCAGCCACCCAACAAAAGCCATCAATGCAGGCCACGAATAGACGCGCAGCAGCAGCAGCAGAGGCTGCTAAAAAACCATCCTATCCTAAACCTCTCTTACCATCAAACACGCCCTTTAAACATAAACGCAATGGCAGAAGCATTTCACAGAAATGGCCCACCCGGTTTATAAACGTCAACTACGACATAGGCGTCAACGGGGCAGTGGCAAGCTTCCTCGGAGCACACTGTACCTTCAAGAGGAGCAGGCAGACGGGAAGCCCCTACAGCATGTCAGCAGGGACGACATTAGAGGCATGTTTCAGAGATGACTTCCACAGGCGAGCAGTATGGTGGCCGACTGGCGCCAAAACAGCACAGCACGTGTTACCCCTCCTCCCTCCTTCCCTCTCTCACCTGTCGGTCATTTGTCTATTTGTTTTGGTTGTATTTTATGTTGGCCGAAGAGGTGTGCATTCTGCAGTCACCAAGCCGTTCTTTTATGCCTGCAGTTAGGGTGTGTTCGTAATCATGCTTCACTCAAAAGGCAAACCTGTAAAACAACATACTGTAGGCATCTGTCCATGAAAATATAAATATTTGACCATTTTTAAACGTAAATTTTATTCCAATAAAGGCACTGCAAAAAATTATAACACCAGACCAGCAGGATATTTGCAAGTGCATGTCATGTATTTGACAGCTGCTAGCACAAATATATTTAGTGGCAGATAAAGATACAACCCCGTGGGACAAATAAAATGAACCATTGAAGATTGACTAGATATTTCAATAATCGGTTAAACTAAATCAATTGGCAGAATGTTAGTGCCTACATAAAATCTACAAACATTCAGCCGATTGTCATATAGGAACGTCACACTGGCATCAGCCATGGTCCAATCCACTGCTGGATGAAGCCCTTCTGAAACTGCCACCACCTAACCATCCCGTGGTGTAATGATCCACAAAGCACCTACGCACAATTTGATCTCATTATTCCATCCCCTCCGTGGATATAACTTTTATGTTTTTGTTGTCTCGACAAGATATTATACAGATAGCATAAACACAATTACAAATGTGCAAGTCAGCACCTTAACGCATCATGCTTTCACGAGTAACGCGTTGGGACTCGGCAATGATTCCCTGTATAAACGCCATCACGGCAATACATCGAGTCCTAAAGTTGTAAAGCGATTACCGAGACATGATCTTCATAGCCAATTAACAAACTAATTGCTGGATTTCTTTTCCTCTCCACGAGCCGTGAGACCTAATAGCCATGGCCCCCAAAGCCCTTTTTTAACTCTCTGCTCAAAGCACCCTCGGATTTACCTCCACACAAAATGAGAACGCCGCAAGATAAAGATCCCCTCCGACCTATATTGTTACTAAAAGGGCACACGCGTCTCACGAAGTAGCACAGGTCAAGCCGTGCACGGAGCGGGGGTTGAGGGCTCGAGTCTTTCTGGCAATGTGGAGAATCCCAACAATTGAAAAATGCGGCTCCTGTTGGGCCAAGACGGCTTTGTGATGTGAGGTGTGCACACTTCACGCTTGCCATCTCGACTCGGTAGTTAGCGCAGCGGACTGTGAACCTGGCGACCCGAGCTCGATTCCTAGCCAAGGGGAACATTAAGTGGCACGTGACATCTGAACCGGTCTCTTGGGCTCCCCCCCCCTCTCCCCTTCGCCACCAACCCACACTGGCCAGCATGGTGAAGTATGGTCCAAAAGATACACAGACAACACATAAGGTCTTGTCACCTGTGGTCCAAAAATCCGAGACATTGTGAGAATATCTCAGTCACTGAAAAGAGCAAAATTACATGTAAATAAAATTTCTTGGTGTATTAATACTCAACTGATGAGTTGCAAATTTCCAAGGACGGCTACCTCAAAAAGGACGTCCAGGGAAGGCCAGCTTGCACAAGCGCCAAGGCTACAGACAACGGATAAGCAAGCCTTCATCCAGCAATGAAATAACAAAGGGTTGTAGAAATTACCGCATATCAAATGATTCTCATTGACTTGATGATGTGGACGAGTTGCTCTTCTTGCACAAGCGTCATTTACTTGATTGGGAACATTACATGATCACTCCGTGAACATGACAAAACGATATATGCAAACACTGTCGTACACGTATTGCCAAATACCGCAAGCATCAACATAACCACTGCACCCACTGGGAACACGACAAATGAGGCACAGAGTGGCTGGTCGAGAATCCATAAAGTTGTATTGTGGAAATGTCTTACAAATCTAAAGTGCATCGTACAATATATTTCAGAGCTGCTCCAACCAAAAGCGTTTTAAAGGTTACACAAGCAGGGAGGCGACCGGGCTCTTTATCATGCGAAGTAGAATACTGTAGTGTTTCATATTATTGGTTCTTTCGGTAAAGTGACGTAGAAGGGAAATAATAAAGTAAAAAAATTTAAGCAATAAAATAAAAATGAGAATTTGATTTGTATTATTTCCCTTCTACGTGACTTTACCGAAAGAACCAAGAATATGAATCCCTGCAGTCATGAAAGCTTTAAATCGAAACTGTAGTGTTTGTCAAAACCAAATAATAAAAAAGGTCCAAAATGTAAATATCAGTTGATATTTTTTACGAGAATAAAGCATTGCCCCTTACGTGTTTCACACCATTTAAAGTATGTTTTGCTTCGAAATAATATTCGCATTGCAATTTCATGAATAATAAAGGAGAACGTGGTATTGTCATAATTTAAGTTGCTGTAAGAGTGTGTCCATTGTATCGCCCTTTCGTCGATCCACTGCTGGATGAGGACCTCCCTATCCCATGTGGGTCTGGGAGGTTATTTGACCGTGCTTCACCATGCTGGTCAGTGTGGGGATGTGAAGTTGCGGCACGCAGAAAGTTCAGTGCAACAATGGATTATGCTGCCCTGCCCACTGCTGCCCACCACGTAACCCCACAGCCTGGCACGTACTTTTTTACATGGAGGTTGCCCATTCAAGAACTTTGTAGACTCAACTCCAGCTTCGTTTCTGAGAACAGGCACATTTTGGGTGATCTGGTCACAGGAAAGAGTAAACGACTGCATTTGCAGAGATATATATTTTTGAAAAGGCACTGCTCGAGAAAATCGTTGAATTTGTGATTTTTAGCGTGGTGCCAGTACATTACAATGAATCGTGATATTTCATTTGGCATAATACCTAATTACAGCGGTTAGAGATGCAGATGATCAGAGCATTCTAATTAACTGAAGATGCTCTAGGGTTGTAGCTAGTGTTTATGATTTGAACAAAACAAAACTAAAGAAATATTTTGTGAACTGCTACAGTAAACCTTGTGACTTGACACACAGCTATATGCCCAAACACACATTTGAAACATAATCTAGCTTTACAACGTGAAGGCACTGATGTATTATATAGAAGACAGCTTGAGCATTGCGTATAATTACCAGTTAAAAAGTAAAATCTAATGAGGCACATCAATTCGTGCACTGAGAAATATTGCTCCTTAGAATACATAAACGGGAGAAAAAAAAGAAACTGAAAAAAACCGTTTGGTACTGCACTTTCATTGGTGTGTATAAAATCACTGTGAGTCAGGATAACCTGTATAAAGGTGAAGGCACTGGTGTTCACCAAACAATGAACACAACTGAACAATGAGGCATTCAAGAACATGTCATTTTAAGTTACTAATTTTCAGCTATTCCCACGGGAAAACAAGTGGATTTTGTATGCTATTAAAAGATAGTCAAATCATTTTCAAAAACCTGAAAATAAATGTAAAGAACAAACTGTCATTGTTTTTTCAATATGGAAATGCATACACTATCACTACAGGTATGCAATGGGGCTGCTCATATGCCGTTACTGAGAGCTAATGGCATGAACAGCAAAAAAAAACACGTTCACAATTGTTTCTTGCTGGCAAGAATAACCGTAAAATCTAGCAAGTAATCGCAACTAAGACTAAAACAAGTTTGGTCATAAGAAACAGAAACTAAGGGAAACATTACGTATAATGCATTCATTCAGACTATCATGTACACATTGCTTCACTTTTCACCGATTGCATTCAGATGGCTCTGGCCTTGAGTGAATGGTCCAAAAAGGTTTATATCATACAAGCAAGCTTCTCCTAATGACCCCATTCAGAACTATATATTTTTTACAATACTTGAAGCCCGCAAAAGTTCAAAATACAAATGGCTGAACATGCCCCATTAGCTCCGCTCTGGACAGCAGATTTTCTAAAATATATAAGCACCAACTGCCAACACATCATGCGTCCCACACCACTTGCCCATAAACAGCTTCTCAGCGATTCTAACCAATCAGCAATTAAAAAAAAACAGTATTTGTAACACAGTTGTCTTGGCAGTCCATGGAGTTCACCAAATCCAGGGCATCACCCTGCAGTCAGCCCATCCGGACGAACCATTTGTGACGAGACAGTTTGAGACCATCCCACTTCTAGATTGAAAACTAATTGCTTTAGAACCGCTTTGTGTTGTAGTTTGTCGTCCTTCCCCAGCACCTCCAATTAGCACGGCCGGCTACGTACGGGTGCGAAAGGAGTTCAACATACATACATCTCGCTCCGTACGGCCCTGCCTAACTCGCCACCTGCTTGCGGCTTTTGTAGCTGCCGGTGGAAATCAGGTAGCCGTTGGGTTTTGCCGGGGAGTGAGGGGCAGGCAGGGGGGACTGGCAGCTGGATGTCGCCGGGGAGGAGGGCGCACACGCGGGCACGGGCAGGCCGGAGATGCGGCCGTCGACGCGTGATATGTGCAGCATTCGGCAGGGGTCGTGCTTGAGAAGGTAGCCCTCAAAGGTCTCCCAGCCTCCGCCCACACGCACCATCACGTGTTTGTTGTGCAGCATCTGTTGGGAAAGTAAAAATACATACATATTCAAATGTAAATACGTTTCTATAGCGTGGTTTTCAGCCTATTTGATCCTCTCATTCAACCGTAGAATGAGTTGGTTTTGGGCTTTCTTTCACAGCAAAGCCCAGAGAATTTGAAAATCAAATACCACCACCGTTGCCAATAACATGAATAATTACCGTTTATAGAACTTAATTTTTACGAAGGGAATGCGAATGTGCAACCGATCAGTTCTTTAACTGGATGACCTTCGAATTAAAGTACCCAAATTAACTTTTGAGTGCACAGGACTAAAGTGCACGCACAATAAAAGTAACTCATTCAACCAAACAGCTTGCTACTTCTGTTGCATTCTGTATGAGACCAGCAGGTGGCAGAAAAACACTGCGTACACATTTCTATTCAGAAGAAATAAACGCCTAATGTAGAGGTTCCTGGTGGCTCAAGGGTCAGACTAAGCTGCCACTGAAGGGAGCCTGGGTTAGAATCAAGACAGTGGCCTGTGCGTCTTAGTATTTTACCAGGTATATAGCTCTATTTTCAGAAGTAACCTGGCCACCAACGATAGCTCAACAAAGTGGCTTGTCATGTGAACATTTATCGCAGCCAAATACTATAAAGGCATGTTTCTAAATGTGGTGAAAAAGAACGGAAGACCCGGAGAAAAATCCACCAGACCACGGGGAGAACATATACACAGGCCCGCCAGGTTCGGGATCGAACTCACGACCTCCAGTACACCAGGCGAGATAGTTAACATTTCGCCACCATGGTGCCCTTAAACTAGGCTCTCAAGTGTAGGGAGTTCATGGTCTTGGTTCAGTCACCAGTAAGTATATAGAAACATCCATCATTAAAATGTGTTTTTTGCTGTTAATTTGGATATAATCCAGCTCTGAGATAGAACAAAAATATTGGTTTTACTGTCATACAATTAATATTCTCCGTAGCAGTGCAGGTGGGAAAATTGTTTCCCCTCGTATAGATACGAGGTCGCTTGAAGGCATTTTAGAAATAGCTCTATGATAATCTCCAACATGGTGTGATGCATTTACTCTGAACGAGTTCCCAATGGATTGTGTAATTGACGTTGATAGTGGAATCTAGATAACATTTTGGGGGAAAGGCAAAAAAAAAGCTTAAGAATATCATATCTAACTCCATTTACGCTTTGCTTTACAGTGAGATTTTAAAAAAAAACATGAATCCAACTCGGAAAATGCTTAACGATTTTTTTTTCATAGAATATGTGCACAATTTCTAAAATACATACTTTCACTGAGGATTTATTGAGAATGTTTGCACTTGGCACCATTTGCAAAACATTTACTAAAATAACAGGGGGGAAATACACGAATTGAATATTCACAGAAAATACGGGTAACTGTCATCTGTTGACAACATTTTCAAATAAGCTGCTAAGCATCCTCATTCGTGTAACGTTAATGCAAGAAAAACGTCTAACTCGCATTTCAACGGCTCACCCCTAGCGATTCGATAAATTGTTAGAGGTCTCAATTCAATTCAAGAATCGATTCTAAATATGACGGCATATCATTTGCATATTTGATAAATATTATATTCTTACACACAAGAGTTGGTGAACATATCATGAGCTGGGCAACCTATTTAAATTGATGAGTCAATCCGTTATTATTACAGTACTACACGCGTCGACTTCAAGCATACATTTTGATCACATGGAGGCGCACATCAGTTGGTGGAGTCTCTGCACCCAGACTAAACAGGACAGGGGGGGGGGCTCCCCCCCAGATGCTTCCAGTCATCGTTGCCAACTCCGTGAGCAAGAACCACTCCCACCAATACGCAGGCAAGTGCGTCAACAGTCCGTGCGCACCGCCCCTGGTCCCTGCAGCCCAGCCCGACGTGCGCTCCCCCCCACCATCCCACGCGTCCCTGCAGCACCCGCCCGCACTTCCGCTGAAAGCAAAATCCCATGTGGATTACCACCTCGCCCTGTGATGAATTTTTTATTGCGGCTCCCCTTCCCCTCGGGCACTCTGGCCTGCAAGTGTCTGTTGCGTTCGAGCCAGTGAAAGGCGGGGGACCGAAACAGAAAAATGCTATCCTTTTTTTTACAGCGCCCAATAACAACGGCTTACGCATGCCCACAAAATATCAAACGGTGATTCATATTAATGAACAGGCAGGTCACGGATTTCTATTCATCGTAAAAAAAATTACAATGCCTGCGATTAATGTAACGCACAATAACCTCACCGCATAAACACAAGTGCTGGCAATTGCTACGCCAGATTTCTGATCAAGCTTTTGCTGCCGTATTATACCGTCGCTTCACCATCTTCCGTGTGCAACCTGCAAAGAACAGCGGACCATTTCGCTAAATTCCGCAATGCAACCCCGGCAGCATAAATTGAGCACACGGCTTGGCATTCGTTGTTTAATGTCTGGGGCTTTTTAGGGAATGTTCAAAATGCATTTGGTTAACTTACACCTGTGCTCAAGGGCAACCATTAGGCTGTGATTGAGCGCACATGCAGACTTTGCTTTTCGCTGACCTGCATGCATGAACGGTAATTTATTCAACCTCGTCTTCTGCAACGTTAATTTGTGGACCCCTGACTGCCTTCTTCTCTTCAGTTTGCTCACGTTCAACCTTGCCTACCAACTTAAAAAAAAACACACGCACAAGCGTGTACATACATACCATGTAATCATACGTATATAAATATAGTTGCGTTCAAGTATTCATCAATTCTGTTTATTTACTTCATCGGCAGTGGCTGTATTTTATGCAGATAATATGTAAAGGTTAAAATCTGGAAAAATAATGAACACGGCCTTTTTACCCATCACTCTACCCCACTGTTGGTCTTATTGTAGGAGAGTGATTCATAACACCGCGCTTCCACTTCTTCCCCAACCTGAAAGATGGTCTCCAAGGATTTTGGTGTGCGAATGTGACCTTTAAAAAGCCACCCGGTGACGCATACAACGGGCAGGGAAAGGAATTATTTTAATTATGAATCCAACAACCAAACTGAAAATCTTTGAAGAGCATTTTTTGCTTACCGAATTGGGCTATTCACCACATATTCTAACTTGCCATGCTGCTGTTATACAAGCCAATGATTTTGGAGAATTGGCAAAGAGGTATTATTTTTCACATTTTTGGACCAAAAAAATATACACTGTTGCTGTATAACCACATTGGGTTGTGATTTGCACACAAGAGTCACGCTAACCTCAAGTATATCGTACAAGACTTTCATTCATCCACTGCTGGATGAGGGCCTCTGAACACCGTGCAGGCCATGTTCGTCATTTACTTTACCACGCTGATCAACGTTGGTTGAGGACGATGGGCAGAATAGATGTGGAAACACAGACGTATAGTACAATGTATTTTGCAGCACTACCCTCTGCTGTCTGCTATGCAGCACCGCAGCCTTTAACAATGTGTGCGAGGTGGTCATCCATCGACGCACTTTAAAGGCTCAAAACTCCTGCTTGGCTTGTAAAATCTGACATGTTCGGGCACATTCCAGGTGATTTGATCATAGGCACACGAGCCGCACCACCTGTTAAAATCCAGCTCTCTTCAATACAAATGCATGCTGCTATGCTTTTGAGTTGCAACCCATCGGCTACACAGTTTATTTTACTGGGCTGCCGCAGAGAGTCTCAACGCAATGTGCCAAAAGCCCACCCCACAAATGTTTACAGGTCAAACCAGACGGCACACTGTTTCATATGGCGATGCAGCTAGACATCCGTTGGTTATTACAATTTTGATCCTAACTCAAATATTATGGCTCCGGAATATGCAACAGTGCAGCAGTGTAAATACGAATATTGTTTTCCATCACTAATTATATCTCAGTTGTGCCACCGCGGTCAAATTACGAGAAAGGCAAAACCATTCTGGTAATTTCCCAAATATAGAAAGGTGAAATTAATTGGCAAACCATCCCAGAGGATGACAGCACTGAATGACTGGCCAGTTGTGTGTCCCCCTATAGACCCCTATTACCCAATGCCTATGGTTATTTTCAGCTTTCAAATAATTATTGCTCTTTATTAACCTCGGACAATTTTTTTTATTGATTTTAAACAAATAAAACATATCAGGATTGCTTCCAAATATGATTTGTGTCGTATTATTAAGTAGATATTTTTGAGGTTTTAATGTCAATGTTGCATGCATTATATTTTTGGTTTTAGCTGATATATATAGTCCATGCTTATTTATGAAATAAAACACAATATTCATTGTTTTTTGTCAACCAAACATATTTCAAAACGAGATTTCATTTGTGATCAGTCTGATAAAGCCAGCTCAGTAAACTGAGAATCCTGTTTAATTAAGGGCAGCTGTATGGATCAAACTTTGCAAAAATCTCAGTGGTGCCGATTCAGACAGACATATTTTCAATTTGGTCTAAATAATATAAGAATGTATGACTCTACAATCGACTTCTGGATGAATGCATCCCGAAGCTGTCCTGGAAATGGTGGAATTTTAAAAAATAATCATGTCAGGCTTAATGGGTACGACAGCATGAATAATTAAGATAAAATATCATGTTCCTACCCTGACGAAGACGATCTTGTCCCCGAACCGGTATCTTCCATCGGAATAATATTCCACCTGGAAGCTTGCCTGGCACTGACACGGAAGCTTCTCTGATATCCGCTTGATCTGCTCCGTTACAACGAAAGAGAATAGTTGTAGGCAACATTCCAAACGCAACTTCTCATGTTGCAAACAGCATTCCTGTGTATTACGGAAGAGAGGAGAGATTTGAATCTTGAAACTGGAGTCTGAAAAAAAAAATCAATATTAAAATTCACATGTCTGCTTTTCCATGCTGGGGAAAAGTGTTAAGGATAGCGTACATGTACAAACAAATACAATCTAAAAAAAACAATATAAGCAATATTTGTAAAAACATATATATATTTTCTAATGTATGAACCAAATTAATAAAATGCAATCTTTCAACAACAACAACAAAACATCTTCTGAAAGATCAGGCAGTATCAGATGAACAAAAGACCCATACAACACTCGGATCAAAGCGCCGTGTTGGAATAACTTCAATCAAATCTGCCACAAAGCCCGGGAAAGAGCGAAATTGTTAATGCAGTTATTTATTTTCCCCTCACTGGGCTAATTAAAAAGCCAATACTATGTGTGTATCCTAACTAGCGTCATTTATATCACTTTTCAAAATTGAAAGAGTTGACTTTGCATTTATTTTAAACAAATCAGCAGCGTAGCAAGCAATGAACACCACGTTGCTTTACATTTTATTTATTACAGGTAGTCCTCGAGTTACGATGGTCCGACTTACGATATTTCGATCTTACGATGGCGATAGCGATATGACAAAATTGCCATCAACAACCTAACATCGTTCAAGTATGCAGACGACGGACAGAATCATGTAGCTTTAGCGATTTCATTTTAAGGTTACCACGATACGTTCAATGCATGTTAAAAGTTTTTATAGCAGATAGGCTTGTTTCCTGAGAAAACTTTCTATTAAATTGCAGTTCATATAGGTAGGCTAAGAATTTACCTTGTTTTTTATACTTTACATTTTACTGTGCAATACAGTATTGTAATTAATAAATACATACAGTATATAGTTTATACAGTACGGTACTGTAAATGGCTCTGTTTTGCTAAATGATCACCATTCTTTAAGACTCCTGGGTAGGCTGGGCCGTCTTCGACTTACGATATTTTCGACTTACGACGATGGGGTCGTCGTAACGCATCTCCATCGTAAGTAGAGGACTACCTGTACTTCCAAAATCCAATTATCTCCTCAACTTCTCACGCAAAAACAGCAAGTCTAAACTGTAGTAACTTTATATTAAAACATAAACTGAGAGCCCTTTGCAATTCTCTGCTGGATGAAAGCTGCAAAGTCATAGGGAGTTATTTTTGATCGAACGTAACCGCACTAGTGAGTCAGCTAACCGGTTCAGACATCTCTCGCCGCTCAAGTTATCTGTGACCAGTAACACATTTGCATAAATTAGTTTACTTATTTATCCAGCAAAGCCACATTGAGTAGTATGACTTTTCCAAGAGGTTTTCTGCATTGTTTTTTTATTTTAATGTTTTCTGCCAATAAATGAGTGTGTTTACAAGCGACAGGAAACCGGAGAACCAGGAGAAAATCCACGCGGACAAGGAGGGCAATGCTCTATCCCCATAAAGATGGAAACAGATGGTGATAAGTCCACTAGCAGTATTGCCTTCTCCTCGTGAGCCAGGGTATGTCACCTCGATGCCTACGGGGAAGGGAGTCGCACAACATTTGTGTGATCTACCAACCCTTGCCTCCAGTGATGGATCACCGGCATGCACCACGCTCATAAGCGCAGTGTGATAACCACTGTGCAACTGCTGCACCAAACAATGTAATAATGGGTATTAAATGTAACCATAATGCACTGTTTTGTAAACAAATCTTTATGCTGCGTTTCCACAGTCAATAGAACCCAAACCCATTCCGTGCAGGGTCATTCTTGGTACGGCCCTACAGGACACTTTATTTTTTTAATTCTAATCAATGACATGTGCTTTTGTAATCACGTCTGTTAAAAAAAACAAAACCATGTCCTTTACGCTGATCTAAATGAGAGACGCCATTGGATGCGTGCATGTCACTTCTGAGCTGACCCTGTGATATCACCACTGTTTATTTGGGTGGCCCTGCTGGAAAATTTGCAATGGACCATGCTGATGGCTCGCTTGGCCTGGTAAGAATTCTGTGGGAACCCAGGTAAAGGCCACTTGCCCAGTTCGCAAATCAGGTCAGACCAATCTAAGAATGGATGAATAAGTATAATATTTTAAATAACTGCAAAGATGTGTTCAGGGACCCGTAGTATCACAGCTAAATTTTGGCCCCAGAGTGTCTATGGCTGGATTTTGTCAATAACATCTGGTTACCCAGTAGCATTGTTAAATAGGTCACATCCTGCTGATAAGACTTAGTGAAGTTGAAACTGATCCAGGATTAAACTTGTTTTTACACTACTGGCATAGATTGATCCCAAAGGTCCATTGGATAATAGATTAAATATTATATAATTTCAACATGAAACAAATGCATTCGTATGACAATGTATATGTATAATAAGGAATATAAATGGCCCATCATCTTCGGCACTGTAGGACCCCTTTCACCTCATGGCCCTTGGGACCATGAGGAGAAAGGGGTCCTGCCATTGCCCTCACATTTGGACAGGTGGGGAAGTGCATACCATATAATAAAGGCATAAATGTATCCAGCAAAGCGTCATTCCATCTCAAGAATGTTGTAATTTCTCTTTTAGTGTGCATTGTGTAGAAAGAGAGCGGAGCGCCGAGAGAAAGCCCACGTACACGAGAAGATAATATAAAAAAGTCTGTACATCATGAACCAACTTGCGGCACAGCGATCTCCTGGTCATCTTGCAGCCCAGTACATTGAAATCGACTTGGCTCCAAAGCAATGCATTGCAAGCAGATATCTCGAGGCATGCAACGATTCACGCCGAACAAAGTGATTTGATAAAATCTTACTATTTAGGGGTCAACATTTGATTATAGAATAGAGTTTTTGGCCTTTTTCATTACCTTCTTTGCATTGTTTGTTATACGTCATATCTCATTTATAATAGTTGTGTTCACTCCGTTAGCGTACATGTGACATTAATACATAATTTAGAAATATGTTGCAACAATTGTAAATCGAAAGTACACTATTCAGTGCATATATCGAGATCATAAAATTATTTGTTATCAATAAAGCAATGTATCGTTACATGTCCGAATATTTAACACCCATCGTGGGGTTCTACTCATGACCCCTCGTGACCTGCATTGTTAAAATAGTCTCCACGTGCCTCCAGGAATTTGTTCTCCATCCCCGCACCTCCGATAAGCACGGTTGGTTACATGCCAGTGTGAAAGAAGTTCACACATATACATACAGGAGCATTAGCTGCCAATGCCATCTCCAATCAACTTACGGCCGATTCCAGGACCTTGTCCCGCACTTGCTTCTTCTCCTTGGGAGCCCGCGGTGTGGTGGGTGTGCTGGAAGAGGCTGCCACCACCAACGTTGCGGAAGAGGAAGGAAGAGGGCGATGGCGGGCACGAGGTGCACGGCGACGCCGGCGACTGCAGAGTAGGCCGACGAGCCGGATGACGAGCGGGCGTTCGCCCGGGCCTCCTCCTGTTCGATCTCCTTCTCCAGCTTGATGAGCCCCGGAGGCTCGATGCCGAACCTGCGCAGGTCACAGCGGACACCGTGGCCACATCGCGCGCACGCATACAAAGATCCCCCCCTCAGGTGCTGTTCGCGAGCACCTATTGAAGGCCAGCACGGCATAGGAGGGGGTGGGTGGCCAACACCACGCCCGACGCACACATACACATGTGTGCTTCGGCCTCCGGACCGTGAGCACGAAAGGAATACAAATAGAGTTCAGAGCAAAGCAGTGGCGGCATGTCAACTATGGTGGATGTTACGTGTTTTTTTTCCGTATTTAAAGTGAATTTTACAAGCCCTTGCATGAAAGGGCTTTTGACAGGTCAGCCTCCGAGAAGAAAACGCACATGTATGATGTACAAGTGATTCATGCTTTTTTTTCTTTTTATCATTCATTGGCTTTCCCTCCTCTGGGTGGGCAGTGGAAATGATCGGTCTTGAACTTTTTGGTCCAATATTTCTCAGCGCCGAGACAACACGTGGAATTATTCATGCTGGCTTGTCGAGTGTAGGTGTAGCGGTCCCTTCATAAAGTGATCTACCAATATAAACCTCAGACCGGCCACCTAAAATGAAAAATAACCACACATGTTCCTATTCTTTGGTTATTTCGGGAAAGTCACGTACGTAATAAAAATAAACGAAAAAAAATAAAAACACTAATGTAGACTGTAGCCTGGTTCTTAATCGGAGTGAGTGTACTGGCAATCTATAATGTAGACTGTAGCTTGGTTATTGAGTTTGGTGAGTGTACTGGTAGTCTATAATATAGACTGCAGCAATGGTTATCACAGTCTACATTACAGACTGCCAATATGCTCACCAGCTTAAAAATCAGGCTACAGTCTACATGAAAGACTGCCAGCACACTCACCGAGGTTAAGAACCAGGCTACAGTCTACATTATAGACTGCCAATACACTCACCCAGCCTAATAACCACTGTCATCAAAATTAACGTTGCAAGGTACTTTTAAATCATAGTTTTCGACATTTTTATCTCAATGTAATATTACCAATGGAATAAAAAATACTTAAATGCTGCAAAAAATGTAATTAAGATTTTAAGATCATCTTAATCAAATAGTGCAGACGTAATAATTACACCCCCTAAGAAAGTCAATAAATTGTTACAACTCAGGGCCACAATTCTTCGCAAGAATGATTTTTTTTACTTTGTCGTAAATGTAGTCGTCACTAGTAACGTGAACCCATTACATACAACATTCAAATACAAAACATCATTTCTTACATATGCAATAGAATTAACGGATCGCTACCATGGGCATCGATATTATTGTTTAATCAATGTGTTGTTCCACCTCTGATAAATGGTATAAAGAATTAGCAGTGGGATATTAATTGATGTCCTCGTGTTGTAAATATCACTTGGATCAATGTGTGTATTAATGAGTTGTTCGTAGATTAACACCACAGACTTGAGTAAAATCTGATTGCCCTATTACAGGAGTCCCTTAATGCAAAAACAAAAACTTAACCCAATGTCACTGCAATCAGTAATCTTAGTTAAGTTCAATAAATGAGTAGCATTTGATTCTTGGTCACAGCAACACCAGTGGCGAGTACGATCTGGGACACCCTTCACCAACATGTGCTAACGAGCATGAAGTATGGTAAAAATACAACGCCGTGACTGACATGGTGTGGAGAAGCATTCATGAAGCAGTGGATTGACAAAGCGCTGTATTATAATCAAGCTCTAGATAGCAAGCACAAAAAACATATATGGAATACTGATCAGAGACCTTCAGGTGCCAGAACATGCCCATCCCTAAAGACTGCAAGATGAATCACTAAAAAGGTCAAACTTTCACTGCAGGCTGCTGCCTCCTCAAAATCATATTCTCTGTGGTAGAAAGCAGAGTTATTCCCAGTGGCCGAGACAAAATAAAAGATTTGCTCTTAACACTGGCAGTTTGTCTACAAAAATTAGAAACCCAAACATCCCTCAAGAAAATTGCATATTCAAATGTTGATGCTACTTTCCCTGCATATCAGCAGCATTCATTGTTCAGTGTAGATTTTGTCTTCGGCTGCCTCTCAGCCTCACCGCCACTCAGTACGACAGGGGACTTAAATTATTCTGAACATGGGCTGTGCTCTGGTAAATGCAATATCGCCCACCTATATTGACAAAGTCAAATGTCAATTGGAATATAAAACAGGTGCAATCCCCAAGCTGCAAGCCACAACTGCGGCTCAAAATTGGAGAAAACTTAAAGTAGGCTTGTATAATTATTGATTTGAAACCTCATGTACACTGGCCATGAATACTGTAAGCCAATAAAAAAAGGACATAAGTCAGATGGAGAAAAAAAGGTAATTTATGCATGAAACACCCAGCGTAATGGTACAGCTACTATCGACATCGGCTGTACACTCATTAAACGTGTCAGTAATCCCCTGGCAAGGAAGTGCCAAGCTTGTCAAAGGGGCACTAATGGAAGAGGGCCTAAAGTTCCACATGTAAACGAGGATAAGCTGTGCAGGATGCCATGATCCCTTAACAATCAGCTCTATTTCTCCCGGTTTGGCTGTTATTAATCATGCAAACGCGCACGTTGGCTCATTAAATAATGCTCCCGTGTTAAAATATCAGACCTTTTGCTTGGCAAAGGATAGGCACACATCTACTGTATGCCCCTATTTACCAAGCTAATTTGCCAAGTACTGTTATTTAGCATTGCCACTGAAAAACCTGGCTACACCTTTAAAAATACAATAAAATTAGCAACTATGCAGCGTCTAAATGTGACCACTTGTCAAGAGCTTGTACAGAACACTTGGGGCATGGGTCTCCTTCGAGAAAGATGTTAATTTACTTTTTTTTGAGCAAGAGAGACAGTGAAAGGCAAATGAAAAATTAAAGGTCTCGAGTCTGGACAGAATTCCCTACGCATTATCACGGCATTCCACTACGGTGTTTGTTTGTGGAGAGACAGAACTGCTTCCTTTTTCATCTGCAGTGCATTCCATAGGCGAGTATTCATTCCTTGTGTAAGCTCACGCGGTGAGTGCAAGGGTTTGTACTCCGTACCTGGCGGCGATGCGTCCCAACTCGAGAAGACAAAGGCAAACCTCGCGAGGTTGCTTGTGTAGCACTGCAGAAGGGGAACACAATGTGATCATTATAGACGATGACTCAAGCAAAAAAATGCACCTCTAAGCAGGTAGAATGATGGAAAATTACTGACGGATACTAGAGGGAAGCTAACTCCAGTATGTGTAACCAGGTGGTTGGTGTCCATCCTTCCCCAACAATCAATCAACTGAATTAAGATGCACGTGCAATTTTCAAGACAATGGACTAACTCACGGTGGCTGCATCTGGGTGGCAGATGCCAGTCACAGTTTATTGACATAATGATGTAAGCAAGAAGAGTAAATTTCATGGAATGATTTGTAGTTACTTTGGAGACCTATGGAAAAGAAACTTCAGCGAATGTGCTTGGTTGGGAGTACAACTGAGCACATGCAATGAATGCCTCAGGAGTGACCAATGCTTAACAGCTTGTGAACCTTGGGAGCACCACAGATTACCTCGGCTAGCTATATACGGTGCGAGAGAAGTTCAACATACATACAGACTAAAGTGATCTGAATGGTCAGTGTGTCTGTATTAACCACATTTGCCACACAATTTAGTTTTATGTTAAATTACTTCATACCTTTAAAATAATTCCCCCCCCAATGTATTCCGATTTTGCTGTTGCCGTTGTATCATGACATGAGAAACACCTTGTCACGTGGTATTTTAACCCTAAAGGAAAGGTGTCACATACTTTACCATATACTCTGCCGTGAGAGTGTCACAGGGCGGTCAACCCGATAGGTTTAAATTTCATCGCTGAAATTTAGCCACGTGAAGTGAAAATCCAAATTTAATACAAATTATAGTTTAATGAGCAAAAATTGGCCAGGCTAATACCATAAACCCACTATATCTGAGATCCCTGATAAATCTCCGAGCCACAAAGCCATCTAAAATTTTTAAATAGCATTAGCTGCAGGAATTCAACTTGGAGAAATATTCTTAAACGTAATCATTTTAGTGGACACTTATAAAACCTGCTTTTTGTTTGATGAATTTTTACATACAGGAGCAAGAGACTAAACTCTTTAGAAGCTGATGAATTTAGGTCATCCCCCTGGCAGAAACAAATATACCACATACCAGCTTAGATGAGAAATATTGCACCTCTTACGAAGTTAAAGATGTGGTACACCATGGGGGAAATATCACACGAGCTTCAATATCTACAGAAAAATATTGCTATTATTACCTACAACGGCACAATACTATAGTCTCAGCTGCACATTGCTACTTTTGTCGATTTGCAATGGTGTTATCATCATGAGTGCAAATCTGCGCTATTAGATGGCACAAAACAGCCCGCAGGAAACACTGCAAACTTTAGATTTTCTGGAAATTCAACCTCAAATGGAATAATGCATTGGGAATTGGGGGGGTAGGGGGGGTTCTAAACAATAGGCTATCTGCTACATGTAGGGTCCTTTTCCACGAAGATATGCGAAACTTAGACACTTTTGTTGTAAACTGCACTGTATCAGATAAGCTACAACAAATAAATATAGCCAATCTACACTCTACAGTTAAAAGAAGTAGTTTTTTTTACAGTTGCGTTCATTTGAAGGTTCATTTAAAGGCCTCATTGAATCGTAAAAAAAACATTTTGTAAACAAATATTCTCAAAAGGCTACTCTATTCCACGTAACTTTAACATCACCATTCATACACACGGAAGGCAGTCCCAGACAGCAGGACTTGTACTGTGATGATTGGAGCGAATTGCATCAGCTAACACATTCCTGCGGAGGGAGCATTGGGTTGCTCGGTCAATGACCAGGGTCAACGGCGGCGTGGTGTATTCCGCAAATATACCCGACTGTGAGGGCGGGGGCACAAGCCGGCGTGTAAAGGTTAAACGTTGAGTTTCATAAGGGCACCACGGGGTGACCAGCCCCTCCCCATCCCAGCCCCGACCCCTCCCTCCCACCCCCCACCCAGCCCCACCCAGCCCCACCCTCCCCACCCAGCCCCTCCCCACCCAGCCCATCCCCACCCTCCCCACCCAACCCCTCCTTCCCCACCCAGCCCCTCCCTGCACGACGGACGCAATAATCCCCTGTGGGCCGGTGTAACCAGGAGGTTCCTACTAGTAAAATACGTCCTTGAATGCACTCGTCTGTTGGTGACCCATCAAACAAAACAAGTACCTTGCAACATCTATCCACACCTCCGTGGATTCTCACTATGACCTTCAGACAACTGGCTGGAGTCAAGTACGGAATGTACGGGACCCGAACAGATCTGTCATACATTTAATTCCCTGCAAAGATTAAAGTTATTATTTAACATAGAATAAAGCACCTGTTGTTCGCATGCCAAGGCAGGTTATATTTCAGAGCTGTTGGAAGGCTGCGGAAAGAGTGACGTCATCACTGACCATAACACGCACGCGTGTACTCATTAGCAGGCCATTGGACCTAGAGGGTAGAGTTCAATGCCAAGACGTGCCGATAAAAGACGGTGCATTTCGAAGCCAATTTCAAACCGGTGCATGGCCACATGAAGCGTGTGTGGTAACAAATCCATAGGCATTGCCTTGTTGAGTGCTACATCTGTCATGAGATTTCAGTACCATGCCTTGCGATCCCTCTATCTTGCACACTTGGCAAGAATATTTTAATCTAAAGACACGGTCCAAATTTTAGCCTTGCAATGATGCGTCCCCATTGCAATTCGACGAACTGTCACGATTCGGAGTTGTGATTCGATGAAAGATTTATTTATTTTTGCCACTGTTAATTTAGTGCCTGAAGTGATTGAAGGGGTTTACGGAAACCAATTACACATACAACTTATGTAAAATGAAAAAAAAAATTTTTACACTCGCAATTCTGTGTGCATTGTGAGCGTAAGAATTAACTGTATTCGATGAACTGTTACATGCCTACCATATATCTATTTTAAACAACTGATCTTGTGTAATGCACAAGTAAAGCCCTTTTGCTAATCCACTTCTGGATGAGGGCTCCTCCACACCGTGCATGTTAAAGGGATTAATTGAGCATACTTCACCACACAGGCCGATGCGGGTTGGTGATGGCGAGCTTGGACGTGGGAACATAGAAGTACACTCAATGTGCATTTAAATGGCAATGACTGGTAGGTGTAGAGTATGAGGACTAGATTGTATGAAGGCCCTGAGCTAATGATATTTTTATTATCATTTCTAACAAAATAAATCACCACAAAATATACTTTTGAAATCAGAACAAAAATGTTTTGAAATATTTATTATCATTTACTTTTCAATGTGAAATGTTGTTTTCCTGTGCAGAAGCAAGGACATTACAAACTATACACCCCATGGTCCTCGTCGATTTGGAAACACTTGTGCAAAAGAGCTGCTGCATTGCACCAATATTATCACGCGCTCCAGACGAGTGGGGCAGGGCACCGTGTTTGTCCAGTCCAGGTCTAACCAAATATCACCAAGTTCGAAACACTAATCCTGCTGTGAATGATGCAACTCGGTGACACAGATGATAGAGTTACCAAAAGGGCGTGGCTTTGTGTTAACCTGCCCTCAAAACATAACGGGCCTTTCATTGCACAATACTGCAATATAAAATGTATCCTTATAACTCCGAAAAACATGCAAAAACGTATACAACTACTGCCCACGGCTGAATGGACAGTTATATGGACTATTTATATCACTGCTTTACACTAGCGGCACGAGTTCACATTCTTAAATCAAAGCTGCTTTCACGACCCACAAGTGGTGTCCTTTGTGTTGGCACACATGATCGCGTGGACAGAACTTAATATGGCAAAAAAAAAGCAAGAGGACGATCCCTGTTTTCCATCCAAAAGAATAAAAAAAATAACAACCAGAGGACAGACGAAACTACTCCACTAAAAATGAAGATAATAAATGTGGACCTATCTCACAGGGGGTTTAATTAACTGAAAATAAACGTCTCAACCACCGACAAGCGTGCACACGGCAAACTTACCGATTAAAAATACGTCAACAGCCATTTTGTAGATATGCAATTAAAAACGTGGCCATCGTCACACATTGACCAACAACTCAGCAAAATAAAGACCTGCATAGACCTGTGAACTGCAGGCATGCCATGTCCTCCTCAACACAGCGCAAATCATCACAGACGTGTGACAGTTTACCAAGAGTGTCAATAAAAAATATTAATGCGTAACCAACATCGTCGCAAGGTCAACTCTGCAGGACACTGCAATCGCTGTGAGACAATGACTAAGCAATATGAGTGTTTTTCAGGGGAGCTGGTAACTGTAACTCAGCCCTCTCCACTCATGCCACAAACCTGTCACATTGCTACGGCTGCTTCCAATAAAAAGGTTGTTGCTGCGCTGGCTTCCTGATAGCTTGGCCAAGCAGGATTGCCAGAAATTTCTGTTGACTTCAAAAACATTTTTTGTTACCCTAATTCTTGCAAGCCGGATTTTGCCGACTTCTAGCACAGATGAAGAACCTTTGCTAAACTGTCGCAAGCGGCATAATGCGCAATGCCTTCCATGCAGATAGATGTATCAAAAAGGGCTGATTCTGCAACACACAATGCTGATTCTGCAACACACAATTCAATTAAAACTACTCAGAAATGTTCAAAACGCACTGCTCATATTTCCATTTGATTAAACTCACCATAAATTAAAAGGCTCTTGATGAAGCAGCAAGGTGGCTCAAAGGTCAGAGCACTGAGCCAGCACCTGAGACCATAGGCAAATATCTGGGTTTCATCCACCTGTGATTAAACCGTTTCTCACGTGTGGCGAGTTTATTATGGTTTCAGCCTGATCACCAATGACTGCATTAAAAAAAAACATCATATTAAATGAGTTTGGTAGGTCATTTGGCTGAATTCCAGCATTGAGGGGTAAATGTATCGGGTTGACTGCTATGCTAGGAACATTTCTCTTTAGCTGGGAGTATGGCAAATTGCAGCCCTTTGCAGGGATCACAAAAGTAGCAATGCGACATCTCCTTTCACGGACTGCTCTCTAACAGGCAAAGCTATGCACTGCTCTGCGTAAGTTTGCGAATGGATACTTTATCTTATACCATGATGCTGATAATGCTGATGACACAACATTGGAAAAAGGTAACAAGGTGAGTGAAAAAGACGCGTGGGGGGGGGAGATTTAAAAAACGTGCGCCATTGTTTCAACTGCGGTGCCGTGAGATGGAACCGGCGACATTCGGAGCACAAGTCTGTTATGCTAACCGCTACACCATGGCAGGCACCTCCAACTCCCACTGGGACCTAAGAGAATGGGGGTCATTGTGCCTTGAGTGCAGAAGGTGAAATGGAAAAGGTTCTGCTTAATGCCATACCAAGCCCTTCGGACTCGAACATGCAGGATTCATCGACGCCAGCCTCTCGGCACCAAGCGAGAAAATTGGCCGTGTTGTCCCGTGCAAAGAAGGTCCCAGCAGGGGCGTTGGCTCTGCAGGGGATCTTCCGCCGTGGAAAGCGCTGTTGGGCGGAAAAATGGAAACAAGGCATAGGGGGTGGTGGTGGTCGTGAAAGTGGGGAAATTATTAAATAAACACACAAATGTCCAAAATACATTGCAAGCTCAGAGGAGCACAGTCTAAGATTACATTTTTGTAAATTAGGTTTTAGAATATTATTCTAAACTCCGTGTTCGAGATGACACTTTAAAGACATGAGCGACGCACCCTCCGCGCGTGCAGTTCACAGCTGAAAACACAAAATACTCGAAAACAGCTCAGCCTCGCAGAGGAAAAGGAAACTGGCTTTTTTTGGCACACGTGAGCACATCACTGCAAGTCATCAGCGTGTGCTAGGGGACGAATGGTGCATACTGCTGGCTTACTCGTGCAAAATGTTGGTGTTATGTATTCACAAGGCCGATTTGGGATAGCTGCCAAATTAACTAGATATAATGTGTAAACCAACTAACTTATTATGCAAGCTTGTGGTTGGAAAAATACTTCACAAAGTGAAAGTGACGAAATTCTAATTTTCCAATGTATATATGAGTGAGCAGATTTCTGCAGAGCTGGCGATGGTCATTTTTAAAACGTTATGTTTTTTGTAAGTATGTTGAACTTCTATTGCACCGTACTTTAGCCAACTATGCAGGCAGCAGGTGAATAGACACAAAGCAGGTTTCCAATTCATTCACGTTTCGTTCAATTAACTGCTGTTTATTTAAATACGAATTATTCGGAAAAAATAAATACAGTGGAAATAAATGTCTTTCCAAAAACAGTATTCTACACGCAAACAGGATAAGAATGTTTACGTATATTACGTACTTTATATGTTGTGGAAATATCCTGAGCATGCAGTGAATTAGTTAAGTCAAAATAGGCTACAATTGGCATATTCCATCCAATTACAGGAAGTCGCTGTAAAAACAACGTGTTAATCACAATACAAATAGGCCAGTAATGGTTGTTAAAGCAAAGCAATTCAGTTTTGGAAAAGTATTTGAATAAAACCTGGATAATTTGGATCAAAATACATTTTCTTCACCTACTTATTGATGCAAACCCAGTGAATGCGAATTGCTCTGACGCTGCATGCCTTGGCCTGTGTGCTGTGCAGCTTCCTACAATCAACTGCATTAATTGCGTGGAAAATCTGAACGCAAACACTTCTGATCATTGCCCATCTGCTAAACCTCAATGTGAAACCCAACTCTATTCACCTTCCTATTCTATGCACTTCCTGTTACCCCATGCCCTCAAATTAATCCATGGATCCCATTATCTGTGCGAATATCTGCACTTTTTTTGTGACTAATAGGAATAACCCAGAAGTAGTGCAAATTTACCCTTTAAACAATCTCTCCACTATTCTTTCATTGATAGCAAGTGGACAATGCACAGATAAGCCGAACCACCAATAGTGCCACCCAAAACAACAAAGAAAAAACGAATAACTGCATTAAATATTTCTGTAAAAAAGTTTAACTGTAAACTGGCAAAATGCTGTCTCGTGTAATTTTAGGATTTAATCTAGCATGAATTGTTTAATTGTTTATTGTATTTGTCTGTTTTTTCCCTCCTAAGATTATATGTTTAATTATGTAACAGTTCTCCCTTGAAAGAGACTTATAGTCTCAATGGGATCTCAACATCTTCACCATGAGCTAGCCACTGCTGGATAAAGGGCTCACCACACCATCACCATCCCACATGGTTCGCAAAATCACAATTCATCTCGCTCTTGCAGATGAACTGATCTCACCACTCTTATCTCCATTGTTGGTTGTCCTCCAAGGCATGTTCTCTCAAAGGGGCTACCTTTCCATTAAGTCTGGTCCATCGCCCATGTTACCTCCTTTGGCTACCATTCCATCACCAGCCTCAATCATTCAGCCAATAATCCCGTCAAATGATGCGTAATGCTCAAGCCCATGAATAGTTTGTCTTCAAGATGATACATCTCAGAATTGCGTCTGTTCCTTGATCCACGTATTCAACTTTTCAGTCAGAGTAATTCCAAGCGGCTTCTTTCCACGTTTCTTTATGTACTTGTATGGGTGCTAACCGGGTTGTATATTAAAACTGCTTAACCCACCTTAGTGACATTGTCTGCATAGTTGTTCTCCTTAGCCTTTGCCTGCAGGATGCTCCCAAGGCGGCAGAGAAGGACGCCATTGTCAATCTGCTCCATGAATGTCTCTGCGCGGATTTCCGTACCTGTGTAAAAAAAAGAAGGATAAAAAAATTAACCCGCAAAAACAACGTTTTTCACTATAAATCCTTTATATGAGTGGCATCGGTTTTATTTTATTATTCATTTCTGTTTTTCTTGAGTAAGAGTTTCATTTTTATCACATTGGAATTTTAAATTAAATATGAAAAAAAAATTCCTAAAAAGTTGCAAATTTTGGAAAAAAAATTTCACGGAAATAAATTGTCACGCACAACGAGTATGTGTGCAAAATGTCAGCTCGATTGGATCACGGGAAGTGGGTTAAAAAACGACCGAAAGATTTGCACGGTCGTAAGCGCGCAAGCAAGCAAGTGATCTTAATATAAAGGATTTAAAAATGAATTTAACAATACGACAAACGAACGGAATGGATATAACTCCTAGCCATTATCATGGACCAGCAACAGCATACGTTATCACCAAGGTCAAAGGAATCCCACAGAGGCTCCCGTTTCCGTGAGTTGGGGACATGGTGATGAAAAGATATTTTTTTGTATGTCCAGCTAAAAAATTCATTGTGCTGCCATTGTAAAAAGCGCCTTTGGCAAAGAACTATAAGTGAAAGAGACTCTACGACCATGCGATACCAAAGCTGTTCATTGCTATAACTATCTAATTATGGTACGATTAACGATTAAACGAAAGGTCGAAATAAGTATTACACGAAACATTTTTGATAAACTTTTCTATTTTTTATAAACGCCAATTTTTAAGTGTCAACTCAACTAAGGTTCAGGGTGGGTGTGTTGTTTCGATATAAACCGCACAATCGGTCACATCAACTTTTTCAAAATGTGTCGAAGCGAAGCTGGTTATTAAGAAAATTTTACGTGCAATTAATGTACGACTTCTAGGGATTTCAAATGGCAGTAATCATCAGGGATGGAAAAAGCGGTGTTGTACATAAGGTGCACATTTATTCAACCCAAGTGATTGAGGCACGCAGAGCTGAGCATGCTGAAATGCTGTGTTGCAGTGGTCTGTTTCGCTCCACAGCTCTTGTCAGGCACCTTGCCAAGTCTAACATTTAACACATGCTCCTAACCCAATGGGGAATACCGCTTCCTATGCATAACTGTTCAAAAATTACAAGCAATTAAACCGTGAACTGCACAATGTAAATTCATTCTGACAATTATGATAGCATTAACAGCAATAACTATTTTAAATAACATTCACAATCGCACTATCTTCCAACAAGATTTTGTTTTACTGCTGATCGTATTAGTCATCTTCTTGGTTCTTTCGGTAAAGTCACGTAGAATGGAAATAATAAAATAATAAACATTTAACATAATAAAATAATTCTCACGACGTTTCGGCCACAACGCAAGCAGCCGTCCTCAGGTGAAGAACAGGTCTGTCGAGAAGACAGTCTTGAACGTCGTGAGAATTATTTTATTATGTTTATTTTCATTATTTTATTATTCCATTCTACGTGACTTTACCGAAAGAACCAAGAAGATGAATCCCTGCAGTCACGAAAGCTTTAAATCGAAGGTATTAGTCATATTGAGTTTATAGACTTTTAATATCTTAATGTTGAACAGCATACCTAGAACTGAAGCTCTGGTGAACAGTTACAAGATGTTATTTAAACACAGACACTATGTTCAAGTGAAAAACGAGTCAGAAAAAGCCTCTTCAAATGTAGGGCAGTGAAACCCTACTGAAGACAAGGGGTTTTCAAAATTTTGAATCTTACACATGCAACCCCACAAGCCTCCCATAAGGGAATTCCTGTTCACATACGCTGACGAGCACACGTACATTCATGCACATGTACGCACACACACACACATGTACAGGCACATGCAGTACTCCCTTTACATCTTTACTTACAGCTGGTAAATGTGAGAAATGGCTTGCAGAGATCATAAATTCAGGCAGTGTTTAAAATCCCTCCGCATGAAAGAATTTCAAATATAAATAAATTAATGCAGATGTTAGGGCTTACGTTACATATTTGACAATGACACAACTCAAGTGCAACACTCAACATATCAATCGAGGCTCTTGCGAATACAATTTCAATAACCTCCTGGACTCAGCCAAAAACTTTTAAAACGTCAACTTACCATCTTAAAAATAACTGTGGATGGAAAGGAATACACAATACTTTGGCACACACTTCAAGGTTGAGAAGTAACTATTCTTCCTCAAGTGAGAGTATATTCTAAAAATGTAATTCCATCAATCAAGGAAACTTGCAAATGTCATTAATTTTCATGATTGTAGCCATCTTGAGTGATCAGAGAGATAAATAATGATTATATGGAAAAGCATTGTTTTGAAATCATAAAAGGTTAAGGTTTTCACAAGTGTAGGTCTTGTTTATAATTTCTGTAATTACTCCACAGAGATTAAATATCTATACGTTTATGCATTAAGTGCTAGTGCCTGTACACATTTAAATCGGCACTTAATTTCCATAGACCGCAATACACTTAATGACTATACTGTAATCAAAGTCCATCAACAAAATCTTATCAGAGCTACTTTTCCGTACATGGTCAACTTGGCTTAATGACATCCATTGTTGATATCCCTCGAGGACAATGTCATCAGTAGGCCTCATTATAATTTTCATGCCGATGATAACAGGCGCACACACATACGTATGCATGTTGAACTTCGTTCGCACTGCACGTAGTCAACCGTGTGCTGATCGGAGGCGCGGTTGCTTTAAAGGGCATTACTCACCCAGAATCTCGGTGAGCCACATGGCGAGGTCCTCCTTCATGGGGATGAGGGTGGCTTCGTGACGGCTGGCAAGCCACTGCTGGTACGTGGCCATGTCCGACAGGCCTGGGCGGCTCTTGGGGCCACCAGGGCTGTTGAGTCCATTCATCTCCACGTTTGCAGTCGACTATTATCTTGCCTTCGCCACAACGAGGAGACACTTCTTTTCGCTTCAACGGTTGCGACGAGAGCGCCTGCAGGGTAATGTCGTCTTTTAGCCGGGCGCGGGTTGAACTGGAGTTCCGATTCGAGAACGAAGTTCTTCGCTCACCAAGCAGAGACTGCTGAGCTGCACCGGTAGACTCCTGCAAAAGCAACGGGCATGCTCTCTCTCTCTCTCATCTGGCGTAAGGAAGCATGGCACACCTCCCGAGAAAGGCAGCTGCTCTATGAGCGTCTCCCAAGTTCTGAAATTTGTTCGGACATGCCGTGAAACGAGAAACGTGATGCAACACAAACACCGTCTGCGTCGACGACTTGCTTTGCATACCTGGGCAGAATCACACAGCTCAGCCTTTCAGAGACTCCGGGACATGGATGGTCTGGTAGAGTCGACTTTATTTTTTCTTAAAGAAGCTTTTCTCTCTGCGGACATACTTTGCTCCTGTCTGCTTGGCTCTTGTCCCGGTATTTGGATAACTTCCTTTGTTTCGAACGTCAGAGAACCTAAACCAGATGTACATAGACGTGCAGAGATCAACCATTAGTATCAGGCACAGCTGAGCCTGTCAGTGACATCTGCTGCAACCGAGACACATTTAAAATATTCAGAAGCTTAAGAAGATTACAGCAGCAACCAGAACTATTCTCACAATTATGTAAATGTGTTGTTTTCAATAAAAACCTACACAAAATGTATTCATTTAACTTCTGTTTTTAAAAAAATTGCTTGAAAAACTACTTTGTTTTAAATTAATTCGGAAAACATTACTTACCTTGTTAATTTAAGCATTAAACACAAAATATTATAACCAGAGGCAATAATATTAAATCAACTGTGCGACCAATACATTATTGTACACCGTCTAATTGAATGGCTTGGTCAAACCACTCGCGAGAAACACACTGCACTGATTATTGGTGCGTCCACCATCTGAAACACAGATCAGTGCACGCGAAACACAGCCCTGGCTGTAACCGGAGAGAGTGTCCCAACTCAGTAGGGGGGAACAGATTTTTGTGCCCCATCACATGGTATCTGATGAAGCCAAGGGATACGCGCCACACAATGAGCAATAACAAAAACCCAGCTTACACACTGGGGCTATTTATCTCAACCACGAACACTCAAAAGTCTGATTCAGGAGGGTCATTCTGTCACAACATCGAGAGTAATAAGAAATACTAAAAATTGTGTGTTCCGTGAAAGAAAATGTACCCTCGCCCTCTGGTTCAAATAAGGAGCTCATTATTATACCGCATATGTATTAGAAACTGCGTGCAAAATCTTCCTTTGTGCAGATGTCAAGAGATTGAAGTTTCGACTGCACACAAATAAAGATAAAAAATGCACTGGTTTATTTTGCAATTCGTGATTTGACTCAATTGCCGCGTAATAAACATTTTTTTAAATGCTTATAAAGCATATATGCAATTAGTTTCAGGGTTGCAGAACAGCTGTTAAATTAAAAAATCAGGACTCAAAGTAACCATTGTTAAGTGGCCGAAAAACATGAAACACAAACATTTTATGCATTTTGCATAAAAGTGAAAGGTTGCTCTCAATAGTAGGGCCATGTTCAATGCTCCGGTGTGAAATTATAGAATGGAGCACACTGTTCTAGTAAGTTAAACTTTGGAAGTGAAAAAACTCAAAATATTATGGCATTAAACAGGAAGCACTGTATAGAAGCCAACAAAAATATACAATGTGCTAAAAAGCCAAAGGCTTTTCGAGAAAATAATTTTCGAAAATACGTTTGGGTTTTGAACTTTCAATATTTATCATATAAACACAACAATATTAAATGAGCAGTAATTACATAGATAACATTTTTAAATTGTGCAAGTATCTTGGCTTACCTTATGAGCACATTCCAGAAGACAAGTTAAAAACGTCATACGCACTTAACTCTTGCGTACCCAACACCTACAAACTCACGTGTGTAAGAAACGCACAGTAGCGAATGGCACATCACGGTCTATCTACTACAACAGACTAAAGACTCGGGCAATGAATTTTGCAAAACTACAATACCAACTGTTATGTTGAATACGATCCACAGCCGATCTCCACACGGGAAAAGACATATTGGCAGTGAGCCATCACAGAAGGTTATGTTAACACTATACAGTATGAAAAGAATGGTTGTTACTGTGCTACTGCTGCCCAAATCCAGCCCGCAAGACCCCATGATGGGCAGATCTCACCAGAGAGAGAGAGAGCGGCGTTCTTCAGTGCGGAAGTTAAGCTGGGGGCCCCAGCTGTCCAGGATGGTCTTTCTATAAGCAGTCCAACTGGTAGGGACAAAAGAAGTGGGGGCAGTGGTAAGAGGTGGAGGCAGTGGTAAGAGGTGGCCCATAAAGGGAGGCCCCCATAGGATTGGGTTGGGGACACCTCTGGCTTATTACTCAACACTGGCAGATGCACGTACCGCCTCTTCAAACTCACATTTAAAGATGCGGTACTATTTTCACGTTGTTATTGTATTCGATTATATCATAAGTTGGTATCCCCCAATAAAGCTGCCCACGCTGCAAAACAGCGAGACTATACAGATAACTATGTAGCGGCCCACATACTGATGCGGCAACGTGCTTGCTGTCAGGAGTATTGCGGTACACTTCAGCGTGTGGTTGGTGGGGGGTGCGATTAAGCACATGGAATTGCTTGGGGAGCAGCCAATGTCTAATTTATTGTTTAACCTCAAGAGCAACTCACCACAGCCATGATAATGGTCAGTGTGTCTGTTTTACCACGTGAACCAAGCAGAGTAAAATACTGCAGCGTTACTTTACTTCGTACACTGAGTGAATGATTTACAAATACATTTCTATACATTTCTCTGTTGCTTAGTCCTCTGTAGGAAGGCCCTATTTGTAAATTGTATTCATTATTAGTAGCATCAACAGCCCTTTGCCATAACACAGGGATAAAGCCTCCTCACATGCCATCAGAATCAGAAAGGGTTTTATTCGCCATGAAAGTTCGCACAGACAAGAAATTTACTTTGGCCGGAAGGTGCATACATTCAACATTTAGGATTCTTAAATCTTAAATAAGTGGCGATTTAAAGCTTTCGTGACTGCAGAGATTCATCTTCTTGGTTCTTTCGGTAAAGTCACGTAGAAGGGAAGTAATAAAATAATAAAAATAAAACATAATAATTTGATTTTATTATGTTTTATTTTTATTATTTTATTACTTCCCTTCTACGTGACTTTACCGAAAGAACCAAGATGCTTAAATAAGTGGTTTACAAGTCTAACTACTAAAGGTACAAGTCTAACTAATACTAAGGAACTAAAGTATGTAAAAATTGAATAAAATAAAATCTAAAATATACAATAGCTATAATATACAATATAAAATTACAAAAATGCAAATAGGGTAACATAGTGCCAATATGGCAGGGTGTCATTATGCAGATATTGTGTTAAAGTCAGTTTGAGCGTTAAAGTCAGTTTGAGCCCCTGGCCTTGTTGAAGAGGCCATGCTGGTCATTGAGGTTGTTCTGTCCATACTTCACCAAGCTGGTCAGTGTAGATGTATTAAGTGGACAGGGAACTAATCACTGGTTCAGATGTCATTCGCAATTGATGTTAGCCATGACCAAACACGTGCAGCGTCTCGATATAAAGCTTTCGTGACTGCAGGGATTCATCTTCTTGGTTCTTTCAGTAAAGTCACGTAGAGTGGAAACAATAAAATAATAAAAATAATACATAATAAAAAAAAATATTTAAAATAATATAATAAAACATAACCATTATTAAATAATTTTATTATGTTTTATTTTTATTATTTTCTTATTTCCATTATACGTGACTTTACCGAAAGAACCAAGAAGACGTGCAGCGTCATTACTGTGCCACCACTTCACCTCTACGTACAAGATAAAACAAAAATCAGATAAACCTCTGGTCTCGGAGATTACCATAAAACTCGCACACCTGCCTTCATTGCTTGTCGAGTTATTGTAGCCAAAGGCTTAACGGCTCAAGAGTCTTGAGGTGCAACAGGGGCGTGACAGATACACATGGAATGTGGATCGTACCATTTCCCAAAGGCAAAGGGATGCTGCCCTAATTCTGCTGTGAACAGATCTGGTGTGAAGTAACGCCAATCCATGCAATCATTGTGATGGATGCAAGAGTTTTCATCTACACGCTGTGTAGTGTGCTATATATCATTGCATAAGCAATGTTTGAGGGGCAAAATTGCCAAACACGGAATGATGGATGGTGTGAAGATTTGGCCTGTGGGGCTTTACAAGTATTTCAATTAAACACACCGAGTTCGTGTGCATAGTCAGCAGCTCCGTTTCTGCTATAGGTAATTACTTTAGTAAAATTGCAAGGTTAGTCGTGTCATAGAAGTTGAAATCCCATTTTTTAAGAATACACGTAAAAAAAATGTTTTACAAATGAATGCGCCGACATCGCTACCCAGGGCTTCCTTACAGAGATTATGTATTCCATTTTCCTGTCATCAGGATAGCAGGCAACACATTACTATACACTACAATAGGTTCCCCGGAATATAAAAGTGAATATAATTTGCAAACGAGACCTGGAAAACAATCACTGTGGTCGGACATGGTCAAATATACTGCATTTCATTCAAAAATACTTCTCTCAATGAGTCCTTCCATAGTCAGAAGACCACTACAAGAGAATACATTCTCATGTGCTCTCCGATGGTTACAAAAATAAAATAAAACCTTCATCCAAAGTACTTTCTCATTAATGTGTAAACGTAGTCCAGGTTCATGGTTTCATATCCTAGGCTTGTGTTCGTCATCCGAGCATCAGGATTCTCAGTCCAGTTTCTGCGTGTAGGGTGTTCATGGTACAGCGTGTTGGGTGTTCATGTGGAGTGCACCATGAACACCGTCTTGATAAGGAAAGTGTTTCGGTTTTAAAAGAGGCTAAATATGTATCTAATAATGTATTTTACCAATTTAAACCTTTGAATGCTTTTAACTATTGTGTATCTCAAATTGTAATGATTTAATAATGTTACGTTTCCTTGTGAAGCACACGGTGACGATTGAATTCTGAAGGGCGCTATATGAAATAAAGTTCAGTTGATTGACGAATGAGGCTGTCATATGGCTAAAGAGTGTTGCAAGTGAATGTATGTATCTCTGTTCGGTTCTACAATATATCTCAATGTCTTACACAGGCTTTAGAATAGTGGATTTTTATTATTATCGATATAATTTCACCTGATTACCTAAAGCATATTACTAAACTAACCTCAAAGTGATTCTGTTATAGTTAAATTACAACATTTAAGTCAATACATCTTAATTAACTATTGTAAATAAATAATATTGCAAGTTTATTCAGTTTCACACGTAGGCTTTCGCGACCAATATTATCCATAAGAGGGGTCTGTTGGGTTAGATAAGTGAATGCACCTTAAATTAGGCGCTTATGTGGTTAAATGAAGCACTTTAGACGGTGGTGCAGTATTGAATGCACCAAGCTATGAACCAAGTGAATGGAATTCAAAACACAAATGATGGCTAATATCAGCAGCGAGTGGTATCCGAATTGGTCCTGAGCACTCCCTTCACCAACCGGGATTGACCAGTAAGTGAAGTATGGTCAAACAACCCCCCCCCCCCCATGACAAAAAGGCATGGGAAAGGCTTTCATCCAGCAGAGGATTGACAATTTATAAACTTTATTCTTAAGACTCGCAAGCGAGTAAATAAAGGACATTACATGGTTATCTTCTGGTCAAATAAAGGAAATTATTGTACAATCAATCTCAATGCACTCTTATTGTTGAACGAACCACTTTACACGATCATTAAACTTAAACTCTCAAATGGTTAAAACAAGGGTTTGCTCATTTATCTAAAACGGTTAAAATGTCGTCCAAACAATGATCAATGTGCAACTGCCTTAGTTACATAAATTACTTGAAGCTCATTAGTCTCAATTAGGCTTACCCTTAGTAGAATAGGACATTTTACAAGGTGGGGAATCTTAATAAGTCTCTCCCATTATTAAATAACTAACGATTAATTTTAAATTAATAACTAAATAAATGTACAAGTTAAACATTTTTATTATTTTACCAGGTAAGGCCCACGTTGTTGGAAATTCCACGTGCTTATGGCAGGCATCCGAGTCAATCTACAGGACAAGCATTACTCTTTGGTTTTTTCGGTAAAGTCACGTAGGTATAAAATAAAATAAATTAAATCACGACGTTTCGGGCGCAACACAAGCGTCCGTCATCAGGTCCCACCTTGTGTTGCGCCCGAAACGTCGGGATTTAATTTATACCTACGTGACTTTACCGAAAGAACCAAAGAGTATGGATCCCTGCAGTCACGAAAACTTCAAATCCAGGACAAGCAGCGTTGCCTTCCCGACAGCGGGACTGATTGTACAGACCCTGGAGGGAGAGATGGATGGTTGACGGAGTAAACCCCCAAACCTGGATCTGAAATCTCTGAAACCTTCTTCCATTGCGAGTGGCTCCGCTCTACTGCGAGCAGCAAACATCACGACTATGAAGGTGAAGTTACAGTCAGCTCACACGGCGTGTGGCAAATCATCCAGCCGTGGGCCGATAAAGGGGCCCCGATCCACAACTCAGGAGGAGGACATCACAGCGGCGATACACTACTCCGGCTGCTCCTGACACGGTGTGTCTGGCTAGACTTGACCCGAATAGTGAAATTGTATTCCGTTGCTCTGCCATCTCCATCAGCCACACGAAGGCAAGACCCGCCACCAACCAGGCAGATGCAAGAGGCTGATATCTCGTATTCAAACAAAGGCACAAAAACACCGGCTCGACTCTGGCTCAGGTTTTTTTTACACATTCCTGCGGAGGGAGCTGGTAGGAACGTTGGGTTGCTCGGTCAATGGCCAGGGTCAACGGCAGCGTGGTGTATTCCGCAAATATGCCCTACTGTGAGGGCGAGCACAAGCCGGCGTGAGTAGGTTAAACGTTGAGTTTTATAAGGGCACCACGGGGTGACCAGCCCCTCCCCACCCAGCCCCACCCCTCCCCACGCAGCCCCACCCCTCCCCACGTAGCCCCTCCCAGCACCCAGCCCCTCCCCACCCAGCCCCATCCCTCCCACCCAGCCCCTCCCCACCCAGCCCCACCCCTCCCAGCCCCACCCAGCCCCTCCCCTCTCCACCCAGCCCCACCCCTCCCCTCCCAGCCCCACCCAGCCCCTCCCCACCCTCCCCTCTCCACCCAGTCCCACCCCTCCCATTTGTGGATGCACGAGGGACGGACGGACACAATAATCCCCTGTGGGCTGGTGTAACCAGGAGGTTCCTACCAGTAAGAGATTGCCATCTCGAGCTACGCAAACACGCGTAGAACACGCGCCGAAGTGGGCCATCTAATGTGCCAAAATCCACGCGGGGAGACGATATGCCGACAGATACGGGCGATAAGAGGTGTTTTTGTTTGGGTTAGATGCGTAACTATAATTGCTGTGTCGTTAACCCCGCCGCAACCGGACGCAGCCAATTAGTAAAGTTTCGTCATGTAAACAGAGCATGTCAATCAATGCGTTACTAGGACAGCACACCGGGTGATGATGCGAGTGGTTACTTATGACGAAACGTCGTAATCTGATTGTAACTGTTGTGGATGTTGGTATCCAACACACAAGCGCTGTAGTAGTAACTCAATGGGACCCACGTCCTGTTTACGCGACAAACGTTTATGATCTTCTTGGTTCTTTCGGTAAAGTCACGTAGAAGGGAAATAATAAAATAATAAAAATAAAACAATAACATTGTGGGAATTTTATTTTTTATTTTATGTAAAATTTTTATTATTTATTACTTCCCTTCTACGTGACTTTACCGAAAGAACCAAGAAAGATGAATCGCTGCAGTCACGAAAGCTTTAAATCGAAACCTTTACGAGTTGGCAGTATCGGGTGGTGGCGGGTTGAACGACACGACATTTGCCAAAATCTAACCCCTCCCCCCCAAAACAACAACCTTATAGTATGGCTACTATTTGCTCACGAAAGCCTAACGAACTACTAACTTGCTGCTGCTGCTGCGTGTTAAACAGAGAATTAGAGGAACTCACTCACCACGCCGGCCTGTGCCCGACTTCCCGCGCCTCCGTTTAAACCCGGAGGGGCTGGCAGGAGCTAGGCCACGCCCCCCCCCCCGCGATGACGTCAGCCCACGGAAGTGGCTACGGCGAGTCGCGCGGCTCGGTCACGCGCAACTAAAAGCAAACGCGTTTATGGACGGCCCCTAACCTCTATGGGGAGGATACTTTTGTTCAATACAATTGTAACATTTTGCTTTTTTTTTACGAACAAATACGATTGCCTCTTCCTGAAGATATTCGCGTGGCTGACGCTGAGTGTGAAATCGATTTAGTGCCATCGAATTAAAAAACATCCTCCATGCAAAAAGCTTTTGTTTGGTGTTTTAACATCTTAACACCTGCTTTATTGCCAGAAAGGGTAAAACCTATTGTTATATAGTACTGCAGTTATACTGAACATGGTAATACTGCATCGTATTTGCAGTAGTGCACATACCAAACACATTCATGCGGAGGGAGCTGGTAGGAACGTTGGGTTGCTCGGTCAATGGCCAGGGTCAACGGCGGCGTGGTGTATTCCGCAAATATGCCCGACTGTGAGGGCGGGCACAAGCCGGCATGAGTAGGTTAAACGTTGAGTTTTATAAGGGCACCACGGGGTGACCAGCCCCTCTCCACCCAGCCCCACCCCTCCCACCCCCCACCCAGCCCCACCCTCCCCACCCTCCCCACCCAGCCCCTCCCCACCCTTCCCTCCCCACCCAGCCCCTCCCCACCCTCCCCACCCAGCCCCACCCTCCCCACCCCTCCCCTCCCCACCCAGTCCCTCCCTGCACGATGGACGGACGGACACAATAATCCCCTGTGGGCTGGTGTAACCAGGAGGTTCCTACCAGTAGAACTCGTTCGTCAATGACACAGCTTGAGAGCCTCTGGCCTCGCTACCTCGACTGAAAATAATAGCCATGCCCTGAATGTGTCAGATTAAATGTGGTTGTTCAACTTTATGGCTGTGGCATTGGCGACTCTGGTTGTGCCATATACTGTACTAACTTTACTACCCGGCTTCGCCCGGGACTTGGATTCTTGTTTTAGGATTAATTTTATATTCTCCTTATGTTAACTGAAAAACCTTGAAAAAAATGGATGTTTGCAAGAAAGAAAAAAGCCGAAACAAATTGATTTTACTAAATCTGATGTTTTTCACTCAATGGAATTCAACCTTAACCCACTTATACGGAAGGGGCCGTCCATAAATGACGTCACGCGATTTTGGACGATTTTTGACCCTCCCCCCTCGTCCCACGGCGTCACAAAAAGTCAAACCCCCTCCCTCAAATATGACGTCACAAAGCTTTGAACCCCCCCCCCCCACACAAAATAAACATACTTCAAATCGCTTCAAAATATTGTCATTGTAGTGCGTATTGAATGTGGCGCTGCACTGATGTTGTTGGAGGAATTTTTTTTTATTAAAAAGTATTTAATTAAGTGGAACGTGTTGTCTATATTCATTTAAAGTTGCGAATTTTGATGTGACGTCACATTTCTCACCCCCCCCCCCTCCTCGTCACACATCGTCACAAATGTCTGACTCCCCCCCCGCTAGGTGCGTGACGTCATTTATGGACGGCCTCTAAGCCACTTCGTTGAGCTATCATTTGTGATAGCCAGTGGGCCTTACCTAGTCAAATAAAATAATATTAGGATTTAATATCATGGGACTAATAGTTTACTGTCCTGTAGATGTGCTTTCTAGAGCTCCCTCTAGTGGAAGGCATTTCGCGAGGGATGGCATCAGCAAGAAATTGCAGGGCTGCACATTTACCATTTATTATCCACGGAACTTATGGCAGGTGTCGACCTTCCAGCTCATCAGCAGAGGCAGGCTTGTTAAACAGACACTGTTCTCGACAATAAAGGTTTTTGGTGGGTTAGATCGCCTAAATATAAATGTGTTGTTAAACCCGCCGTGACACCCAACAAAGCCAATTGGGAAGGTTTATGACATTCTTTGGTTCTTTCGGTAAAGTCACGTAGATAGAAAACTAAGAATAAAAATAAAGTCAATAAAAATAATAACAAAAAAATACTCATGTAAACTGTCGCCTGGTTCTTAATCGGAGTGAGTGTACTGGCAGTATATAAATATAGAATGTAGCCTTGTTATTAAGTTTGGTGAGTGTACTGGCAGTCTATAAAGTAGACTGTAGCAATGATTATTAAGCTGGGTGAGTTTACTTGACAGCCAAAAAGTCACCACATTGTCATGCTTATTTTTTCAGGGATTTTTGAGAATCTTAATTTAAAGCAAACTGACATCTATCGGACACAAAAACACATAAAATGTATGTTATAAAAGCATGCCATTTATTTGGAGCAATCACAAAAACAGTTTTTCTCAACAGCAATTGAGCAATACGTATGCAGTAAATAAAGCAATATTTTCTGTACCACAGTGACCTTTTTCTTACAAGAGAATGCCCTGCAAAATACTCATTTGATGGCTCAACTACACGGTTCAAAATATCTCTAGCAGGATCTGCTGATGCTGTGTTGAGCACTAGAAGCCTGCTGGTGCAATCACGGTGCTTTATTTGCAATATCAGTGGATATGTATTGCGCCTGGGATCTTGCACGCAAGTGCCAGGTAATGAGGAATACACTTTTATAGTTCAATATCAAGCCGCACACTCAAAACAAAAAACGCATGTGTAGAATTGACTGGCATAGCAACCACAAGGAGAGGCATATTCCTTTTTTTTTGCAAATGCTTGAAATGTTGCATCAGCAGCCTAAGTGTCCACGAACATTCATTCTCACGAGAATGCCATTACCAGGAAATGTGCACATGTTTTGAATGGATGAAATCAGAATGCAGCCCTTGTTCTATTTGTGTAAGGATAGCCAGTTCTGCATGGTAGGTGGTGGTGGAGGAGGCTGTTAGACCTGTCAATGTACTACGGCTAGTTTGGCGTACACTGCCTTTTACTGATACTTAATTTGAGTCGCGTTCGACAAAAGGGCTGAGGTTTACGGCAGCGATGCAAAGACGATGTTATGAATATTGCGCGAACATAGGCAAGCCAACAGGTACAACGAATCCTGCAAACCTCTCGTGAGGAGATCGAATACGCTCCACAGACAAAAGCATTTGATCAATACAAGTAGGCGGGAGGTTGACGACGGGCGTTTGGCCGATGGACTGGTTTCCGAGACTCATCGATTAACATCAATTTAGGAAAGGAAATCTAATTATCTCTCACCCCAAGGCGAGGAACAGCAAGTAATCATCGCCTGCGATGTTTTCCTTTCCATCTGCTGCTCGCCTGTCTGACTCAACCATCTGCACCACCTGCTTGTCCTTCTGCACATACCTACGACGTACACCTCACAAGAGTAGCTGGACACATTGTGACAGTTCAATCTTAACTTTGGAGCTTTCGTGACTGCAGGAATTATTCTTTGGTTCTTTCGGTAAAGTCACGTATAAAGAAAAAATAATTAATAAAAAATGCTTTTTTGTTTTGAGTGTGCGGCTTATTTAATTTATTATTTTTTCTTTATACGTGACTTTACCGAAAGAACCAAAGAATAATTGTGACAGTTTTTTCATGCCAGTCCATAGACCTACATTACGTGATATACGTATTGGTTGCATATTAGATCAAAAGCCAGTGAGTCGCGTGAAGAGGCGCTATGGGCATAACTGAAACGCACCGGATTTTCTCTTCCATGTTAACCGTGAAGGCGAATACCATCTCCATCAAATAATGCCCTTATAACGCAGGGAGATGCAGCCGTGGCACATTGATCAGCACATGCTGTAATGTTTCCAAGTGAAAGAGGATTGGCTCTTGGGCCTCAAGAGAAATTGGTTATAAGGTCAGTAAAGTGTCTGGCATAAGAGCATGGGGAGCTGTCTACACACTCAGAAATATTCTTCACTGCCAATGCTGAACTTCTGCAAGGACAATTTGTGCACTATTACGGAAAGAGAATGTGATGAACTGTGGGGAAATAAAATCCGAAATTACGTGTGAAATCAGAATACTGAAATAGTGGCCAATGTACGCGGGGCCAACAATACTCATGAGGAATCATTTACATTCTCTGAAATGCTCCCACTGAAAGTGACACCATATGAACGCCAGAACAACGCACACTCATTGAGCAATCGAATGTCCTAAGTAGAGCTTTGGCTGTGAATTGTAAAATGGTTGTACAGGATTAGATAGCAAATACACGAGGGAAACTGCAGTGGCGTAATAGTTCGTATACGAGGTTTGCAATCCAGAGGTCACCGGTTCATTCTCCTTATGTGGCAGCTGAAACAATGGGCTTTTTTTAACCCCGCTGCCCCTGTCCACCCAGCAGTATGAACCAATATACCCATTCGTCAATCGGCAGGCTGCATGTGGTGGGGTAAAGTGTGGGTGTACGACCACTTGTTCCAAGATGTCTGGCCAGCATGATAGTGTAAATCAGAATACCATCCATTAGGGGGCATTTTTCCAGCAGTCACATGAGCAAGCAATTATAGGGCTGCACTTTTAACTTTTTTTTTACATCTGGGTGCTAAAGAGTAAGGTTTACGCCTGCAGGTTTGTAAACATACAGATTCATGCAGATTGCCAGTAGTGGTACAGCAATTGTAAGGCCAGTAGAAAATGTTGTGAAGCTGGTGAACTTTAAAATTGGTCTCCTTCAAAATGTGTTTCAATATTGTAATTGTAAATTAGTGGAAGTGGCTCAGGTATTCTGCTCCAAGGATGCAGACGTCACGACAAAAGTAACTTAGAAGAGTAAGTTAATTAAATGAAAGATCCATACTCTGTTAATTTAATACGGCAAAAGCAACACACTGCGATTACGTAGCAATCAAGTAATTGCACTTATATTTTAAAAAATAGGGTAATAAAAATATATATTACAGTGTTCAAAAAATAATCGGACTCTATAATTATACATTGCATATAAAACACACAGGTCATAGGTATGTATCGTGCACATTTGGAAACTATATTTCTTATAGCAGAATAGTTAAAAAGACATCGTAATTTTTTCATGACTCGCCTGAAAACTTACATTTTAAAGTTGACACTCCGAGAACGTGGCACTTTTCACGACTCTCAGGACTTCCACGTTACCAATTTAACTGACAAATTCTTTGCAGATGTGTTTCATTTCACCAGAGTTAAATTCCCAACCAGGGTTAACAACTTAACATAAGTGGCGAGTGATAATCCAAACCTGTTCCTGTTCCCCTTTTTAACCAAACCGCACTGACCAGCATGGTGAAGTATGGTCAAACAAACCCCATGATTGAATGCAGTGGATTGACAAAGTACGATGAATTACGACTTTGTGTCCATTGAAAACTGCTTGCAACAGACTAATGTCGCAATGTCCATTTGACATTGATGTGGTTATTGGCTGCAAAAAAACATTATTTAAATTCTACAGAGAAAGCTCTGCTCGTGAATATATTTGGGGAACTTGGAAAAAGTTCAGTAATAAACTACTTTCATTACAAAAAACGAATCCGCATGTGTTTGCAACTCTACTGGCACTGCCAAGGATGTGAATTTTCACACCGCTTAATCATTGCCCTGCGTTGAAAAGATCAGGGTACAAGGGAAATGGATGATGAATAAACAAAAAAACGTGTGACATTGCTTTAGAGTCATGAGTAAGATTTCAATAGTAACTGGGTCACCCTGGAAAAACAGACCTACGGTCTTCACGGGCTACCATTTGGTTGAAAATAAAAGGCACCAACCTACCTACTTGGGATGCTGCCATGGTGTCATGGTTAGCATGGCTGGGCTTGCAATCCATAGGTCACCGGTTCAATCTCCTAGCCCGGCAGGTGAAACAATGTGGTACATTTGTTGAAAGCCCTACCTCTATCCATCCAAGAGTATCAATGGGTACACCACAGTCAGATGATTGGGAGGTCATGTGCGGTAGGGTAAAGTGTGATTACCCCCACCTCTTCCAATATAACTGGCCAGCGTGGAAGAGTAGGCCAAACACCTTCTAGAGCAGTGTTCTTCACTAATTTTCAGAGGGGGGGTGGGGCACTTTCGCCAATAAGACATCATCGGTGTGAGGGCTGCCACACCGCATGCAAGGGGTTTTTCAACATTTGCGTATTGTCGGAGGCCGCACGCTAGGGGCCGCACTAAAGGCCACCAGGAGCCACCAGTGGCCCCGCGGGCCTTGTGGAGGCAGTTCTGCCCGGCAACAACGTGAGCGAGTTTAGTCATGGCAGAGCCGCACCCTTATCTCTGTTAACCTACCTACTGACGTGACTTAGCTATACAGATTGAACCAGATTGTCACCCTAACAGATGATCATCAAGACACATTGCCAAACGTGCTAATGTAATGTCTCTTTCAGCAACAATGGGGCATATCGCCAAAAACTATCAGTTTGGGACATTTTTTTTACGATAGAAATCAGGTATTTGATATTTACAACACACCAATAAAAATCATGTAGGTGTAGATAAACATGGATAAGCCAAAATATGCAATGTTTTAGTATTACATTAATATTTTTACTGGTTCACCAGATATGTGTATGCAACCTTAACTACATTGGAAAGCTATACAATAGAACAAGGGTAACATAAGGTACAATTTTAATTATGACAACAAAATAACATCTACATTTGATTTGTAACATTATCAACGCCACTTTTTTACATCTATAAACAATATGGTATAAAATAGAAACAAAAACATCAGCAGCAACTGCCATTTACTTGAATGTGGATGTGAAACCCACCGGATTTGTGCCAGGCTTGACGCACTGAGAAAGTTGCGTACGGTTGGTAACGATTTGTGGTTGATAGGTCACGGCAGTAACCCGTGTTAGGGCATTGAAGGGCAATAATGCCCCTTTGTTTACTCGGCAAAGCCTCACAATAATCATGCATCTATTAATGTTGGGCCAACTCCATAACGACGGTGAGGGTAGTGTGGTTGGCAGAGTTAGAAGCCTCGAATCAACCTTCAATCAGTGGGCAGTTCTTGGTTCTTTCGGTAAAGTCACGTAGAAGGGAAGTAATAAAATAATAAAAATAAAACATAATAAAATAATTCTCACGACGTTTCGGCCACAACGCAAGCAGCCGTCCTCAGATGAAGACCAGGTCTGTCGGGGAGACAGCGTCTTCACCTGAGGACGGCTGCTTGCGTTGTGGCCGAAACGTCGTGAGAATTATTTTATTATGTTTTATTTTTATTATTTCATTACTTCCCTTCTACGTGACTTTACCGAAAGAACCAAGAAGATGAATCCCTGCAGTCACGAAAGCTTTGAATCGAAATTCAGTGGGCAGTTGCTAATTCTCCTTTGCTGTCCCCATGGTGTAGAATTGTTTTTTCTCCCGACATCTCTGCTATGGACTCCCTGGTCCTCTTCAAGTCCAGACTCAAAACCTTCATTTCCATCCCCCCCGCCCTCTGCCCTTGACCGCGACTGTATCTTTCCATCAAAAAATACATATGCCAATTATTTCCTTATTGTGCTTTGAGATGACGTCGTATTTAGGCCCTAAAGCATATACATCCAATTCATATTACAGAATTTTGTACAATTCGGATGGGTGAGATACAATTGGGAAAAATGCATCATAATTAAAGAAGACAGTCCCACATACTGCTGTTTTTTTATTTCTCTCTTTCCTGTGTGTAAGCAAAACAATTCAGCAGGTGGAAGGGAGGGGGTACTATGAAGTGGCAGGGCAAATTAAGAATAATTGAGAGTGCGGTGTGCGCTGCCACACACGGAAGACAATGGGACCCTTGGGGATTCTCCTGATCCAGCCATTGGTTCAGTTACAGCCTGAACCGATAAAATATATTTCACAGAATGTGTACAATATTCTGCCTCAATTAATCGAAAGGGATTTGAAATATTTCGCGAGGTAATGGGGGGAAAATGTTTTTTTAACCCACAATAAACTTTGTAAAAGAAAATTCTGTTCGGATAGTTAATTTCTGAGTCGTAAATAATTCAACGGCATGTCTGAAGTATTATTGCTGCCGTGACCATAAGAGAGTGGCATTGTATCAAATAACGTGAGCGCCTTCAATAACGCAGAGCGACCATGGCTTCCACTGTCTAGCACGTGTCACCGTAACCGCAGTCGTACATTCACGCCGCACCGTGCACACGTGACGACCCCACATTGTTACACTTCAATACAAAACGTATAAAATATACATGTAAGCCAAATTCTGGAGAGTGGAAAAAAATAACTCGGCGGATGAGGAAGATGAGTGGGATACAAACGAACGAGCGAGTGGATCCTGAGCAGCTGGCGTCACTGGATGTCCCAGATCTCGCAGAGCAGCGGAGTCAGCTTCTGGTCCTGCAGGCGCCAGGACATGAGCACCTCCGAGTGATTGTGGTTGAGCGTCCGCAGCTCGGTCAGCTTGCCCACGAGGCGGGCAAAGTGCTGGGGGTCCTGCCGGTGTTGCTGCTTGGACAGCTTGTAGAGGATGTCCAGCAGAGGCTCCTGCAGTGACTCGACGAGGCGGTGACCGCGCACGTACGGTCGATCTGCGGGGAATGGAAGTTTGTTTTTAAATTGGCATCATTCGGTCGACTGGAAAGATCCATGCCAGTTTTCGTCGCCGCATCTTTTCACCGACTCTAGAACGGCTGCTATCGGCGTCGTGTTACGAGACGAAGGGCGGCTCACGTTTTGAATTCGCCCATGGAGAAGGGCATCGCCTAGTGTTTTCGGAGCAGGACTGTGGAAGGTGATATCACTGAGGCACTTGTTTGAGATCATACTACTGCGTCGGCTTTTGCGGTGGCGCTGCTGTATAGCTCGCAGAACGTGGAGCGAAATGTCGGACGTCATGCCGAACAACACGCGGCACATCCCGAAAACGCATCAGAGTACCTCTTCTTGGTTCTTTCGGTAAAGTCACGTGGAAGGGAAATAATAAAATAATAAAAAGAAAACATAATAAAATAATATAATAACATATAGAAACGTCGTGAAAATTATTTTATTATGTTTTATTTAAATTTTTATTATTTTATTATTTCCCTTCTACGTGACTTTACCGAAAGAACCAAGAAGATGAATCCCTGCAGTCACGAAAGCTTTAAATCGCATCAAAGTACGTCGGAGATCCCTGCAAGTGCTCCTTCGGCCACGCCAGAGTTCTGCACCAAAGGTTGCAACTGGGTACCCGGTACCCATACCCTACCCGATACCCGGCTACCCGTACCCGGCCGGGTACGGGTACCCGTTTGCGACCCTGGTGCGGCCGGGTACGGGTACGGGTAAGGAATCAAAACCCGTTTGCGACCTCTGTTCTGCACTCCCTTCACACCTGTGCTCGCGAGAAATGTTTGTTTCATAGAAGTTAAACTGACATTTTCGATTCTCACTGTCGGAATTAATTAAGTGGAAATATTAATGAATATTGATTATTTTTTCTGCCTTGCGGTCATTCGTGGCCAAGCTGAGACCATCAACTCATTACACCTGAGAAACAGTGAACTTGCAGCCGGTTACCTGGAGGCACCAGCACAGTGCTCTGACCAGTGAGAAACCCGGCCACCTCAAGTGTTATGCGTCGACTGACTGATATGACTGGCAGATGCACCAATTTCTCGCCCCACTGTGTCATCTCGCTGTGTTTTTAGCTGCCCGGCGCTTTGCCCGTGCTGGTCACCCACCCCCTCGTGTACCGTTCCGGCCTTCATAGGTGCTCGCTAACAGCACTTGCCCCTACAGTCTGTCAAGGTTATGCGGGGGATCTTTGTCGTTTTTTACAGTACCTGCTGAAAGAATGGCGGTCGCCGTTAACAAAGCGTACTCTGTCTCGGTCGCGTTGAGATCTCCCATGCTGCGGTAGAAGATGAACATGGGCTCGATGAACTCCTCCGCAATATCTGCAAAAACAGAAACGCTGTTATATACCAGGTGAAGTCCACTGAGCGATTAGTTATTTTTCAGAGGTGACCGGGCCACACGCGATGGCTTACCCCACCGGCTTATATGATCACATGTGGGAATTTGTAGTAGCAGCCAAATCAAGGGGCCGTCCATAAATGACGTCACGCGATTTTGGACGATTTTTGACCACACCCCCCTCCCCTCGTCACACGGCGTCACAAAAAGTCAGACCCCCCCTCAAATGAGGTCACAAAGCTCTCCCCCCCCCCAAAAAAAAAGAATATAAAACATGCTTCAAATCGCTTTAAACTATTGTAATTGTAGTGCGTATTTAATGTGGTGCTGCACTGTGATGCTATAGGAGAAAACATTTATCAAAGAGTCTATCTAATTAAGTAGAACATGTTGTATATATTTAAAGTTGCGCATTTTGATGTGACGTCACATTTTTCATCCCCCCCCCTCGTCACACATCGTCACAAATGTCTGACCCCCCCTCCCCAGGTGCGTGTCGTCATTTATGGACGGCCCCTAATATAAATGCATGTTTCTAAATGCAGAAGGAAAAAACAGAATCAGAATCTTTATTTATCCTGGAGAAACCAGAGGGCCCAGAGAAATAGCCCCATGACCACGTCAGGGAGACAGCCAACATGCAAGCTCCAAATATACAACTGGCATCGTCAGGGTCCAGGATCGAAGCCACGACCTCCTGTATACCCAGCGAGAAAGAAAAAAACATCTCGCCGAAATTACAGTCTTCATGTCATACAAGGCGATGCGTTGATGCAAACTGCAAAGGAGCATAATTTATTACAACACACCGATATTGCACATTACTCAACAGCGCGGCAAGGTGATGCATCATTGCAAATGTGCCATCAAGATGTCAGAGCTTAACACTGTTTGCATGAAATTTAAATCATGACTGTGACATTTCAAGCGGTTTACTTCTCGTCCATATTATTTGTCTGCGATGTGCACTGGACTTTGGCCATCGCCACAAGACAAGCGCTTCTCTGGCATCAAGATTCTTTAGCACAATTGACAAACACAAGAGTAGTGTGCACATGTCGATGTGTTGTAGGGGGATCCACCATATTGTCTGGATAACAAGACCCTGCAGAATGTAAGATACATCCCACGTGTGTGCTCTAACATACAGGGGAATAAGTGTGTTTCAACAACCCCTCATTTTAAATGATTGATTATGGATTAGATATCGTCAAAATGAGAGCTCCATATTTCACAAAGTGACGAAGTCAACTGAAGGAAAAACAAGAAAAAACAGAACGTTTGAGGAATCCCAGACGGACAACATCACTCACATAGCCACCGGCATGTTGTTGTCCAATGTAAAATATTTTGTCAGATTCTAACTTCAACCAAATACACACAATCCCCCTACTCCTGCCAACACCCTGACCACCAACTCCATCCAAACCCCCATTTCTGCCTATCGTCTAACCTCCAACAACTCCACCCAAACCTTCAGTCTTGCCTAGATCCTGACCTCCACAAATTCCTCCTGGTCGAGCCGTTACCCCCGGTGAATCCCCGGCACAAACAACCCAGACCAGCTACAATGCGGATGACACAAGCAGACATCTGGCCCAGCAAAGCCCTCCACAACAGACGCAAAATCCGGCCAACCCCTCTGCTAGACATGCAGATGCCTTCCGGCCTACCCCTTCACCCCTTCGTAGCACCTAAATTCAACCCAAAAAAAATTAACCCGTAAAAACAAAGTTTTTCACTATAAATCCTTTATATGCGTGGCATCGGTTTTATTTTATTATTGATTTCTGTTTTTCTTGAGTAAGAGTTTCCTTTTTATCACATTGGTATTTTAAATTAAATATGAAAAAAAAATTCCTAAAAAGTGTAAAATTTTGGAAAAAAATTTTCACGAAAATAAATTGTCACGCACAACGAGTCTGTGTGCAAAATGTCAGCTCGATTGGATCACGGGAAGTGGGTTAAAAAACGACCGAAAGATTTGCACTGTCGTAAGCGCGCAAGCAAGCAAGTGAACTTAATGTAAAGGATTTAAAAACAAATGCCGTGCTCTCTTCCAGGAGACGGCTGCAGGGTGACTCCCCTTACCGACAAAAGGGCTTTGATGATAAGATTGTGTAACACCGATCAGAGGAGTTGGCATAGCGTTACAGTACGTGGATGACAGGAAAGGGTCGATAAACGCGGTACGTATGCAAGCAGTTTCACTGTTTGACATATACAATGCATGCCAATGGCTGTAATAGGTGTTGTGGGCAGTTTGAGGGCAGCACAGCTAAATTTATTTTTGTTCTATACCCCGACCCCCACCTCGTCTTCAATCCGCACTGACCAGGCTGGTGAAGTATGGGCAAATGTCGCACATGGGCTGTACATGGTCAAATATTCTTCACGGGATGTACATGTGTATGATACAAATCTAATGTATTAAATGTCTTACAGCACTATATTTAAAAAATATATATCATTGTACATTTGTTTATAACTTGAAATATTGCTCATAACTTGCGTTATACATTAATTTGATAATATAGTGCACACAACGGGAGAGAATGCTGCTGGAATTCACTTAAATTACAGGCAGTGTCGCATGCATAATGCAGTAGTTGTTATGGTAACCGGTGCGGGATTCCCTGTCCACCTGGATTCTGCCGTAATATTTCATGGTTTCTAGAAAATACACGGACGCTGATTTAGTTTTTTTTTTAAACAAGCAACCCACGCGGAATGGCTTGGGATGCGTCTCCAGCAACGGTTCGAATCGCCGTTCGATGCATTGCTTGAGGTTAGCTGCCCACCGAATCTCAAGAATTGAAGAATTTTAAACACGGTCCGGTGTGTTTGTTCGGCGCGATGTGCGACGCTTCGCTCCACGTTTCTGGGAGCTGCTTCAAGAACGGGACCGAGCTCATGAAGGTATGGTTTTGCTGTTTGTGGTGGTGAGATGTGAAACACCTCGCCTGGTATACAGGAGAGCGTGGGTTCGATGCCGACCCTGACGCCTGCTGTATATTTGGAGCTTGCGTGTCTCTCTCCCCCGTGATCGCGTGGCTTTATCTCCAGGTCCTCCGACGTTTCCCTCCACATTTAGAATCAAAGTGCGTTCAGAGTATTTGGCTGCTTTAAACGTCCACGTGATAAGCTACTTCGTTGGGCTATCATTTGTGGGCAGGTCGCTTCTGAAAAAGAACTCTGTAGGCTCAATGGGTCTTACCTGGTCAAATAAAAAATTAACCCGTAAAAACAAAGTTTTTCACTATAAATCCTTTATATACGTGGCGGCTAGAGTCCTCTCGTCCTCTGGCTTGAGATGGCTGCCACCTATGGGTCAGATGATTGCCTGCCACCATTAAGCAATTGGTAATTAAATATAATTTATTTTTTCCTAAAAAGTGTAAAATTTTCACGAAAATAAATTGTCACGCACAACAAGTCTGTGTGCAAAATGTCAGCTCGATTGGATCACGGGAAGTGGGTTAAAAAACGAACGAAAGATTTGCACGGTCGTAAGCGCGCAAGCAAGCAAGCAAGCGAACTTAATATAAAGGATTTAAAAATAAGTTTAAATAGTTTTTAGTTCAATGATGAGCGTTAGTTTTCACACGCCCGTATCTTAACAAGTGCAGCTGTTGGCGTTGTGCTCGATGCGCCGAGCGCTAATCGATTAGCGGTCGATTAGCACGGCTGGCTACGTCGGGTGGGAAAGCAGATCAACATACACACATGTGTCACAAATGTAAATATCCTCATGTTGCAACTAGATGTAAAGAGCTTCCGTTCAATATAAAAACGGATATTGTTTGGATGAAAGGAGTTTCCGCTTTGCTTTTGTTTCATCAGAGGCGTGAACTCACAGACCAGGATGTGTCTCGTTCGCAAGTGATACAAGCCTGGGGGTTACCAAAATGACCAAAAGAAAAACAAATAAAACAAATAACAGCAAGGAAGCAAATATAAATCAGAACAAACACAACTTGTGTCTCATGGCGAACTGAAAAGACATCCGCCCTGACCTGATGTAGCCGTAGATTTTGATGATGGTTTAACACATAGGCTTTCGCGACTAATATCATCCATAATACAGGGGAGGGGGGGTTAGAGCGCGTAAATATATAAATGTGTCGTTAAACCCGCCACCACCCGACACAGCGAACTAGTAATGGTTGTCATGTAAACAGAGCGTGGCCAATTCGTCACTAGTACAGCCACACCGGTGTGTTGGAGAGCAAAGCCACAACATTCATGTTCTGTTCACGTGACAAACCTTATTAACTGTCTGTGTCGGGTGGTGGTGAGTTTAACGACACATTTATATATTTAAGCGGTCCAACCCAAAAAAAACCTTGTAATTATGTTTGATGGTGTTCACAAATCTGACTTTCACAGATCTATCCGTACCAAAGTCCTTAATTGAGTCGGATATGCGATATTATACTGTATCAATGTGTAATTCATCTGGCTGATTACACAAATATATTTTTGTGGGAAAAAAAAAAAAAACTCCAAATGGTTCAAACATTCCTATCTGTCCAATCTAGTTTCGGAGGTCTGCAATAATACTGCGATCTAGTGCAATTATAATACTTTGCCGGACACTCTGGAATGACCGAACGAAAAATGAAAAGTCATACGTTGCTACAAATGTGCCCTCAAATGGCAGCTACTGCGAAGGTGCGTGATGTAGAGGCACATTTTCCGAGTGCATCTCCACAATGCATTGAAATAGCTCTCACCCCCCATTACTAGTACTAGAAATGTACTAGTAATGGCAGAACTCCACGACTCCAGGAAGTGGCCCCGAAGCTTGCCATAACGTAAGGGACGGAGCGTGGCCAATTCCAGCCAACGTCAGTTGACCGTGGACAATTAGACCCAAGCCGAAACATAACATATAAAAAACAATGTTTTTAAAATACATTATTTTAATGACAGAATATAGTATTGCCATCAGTATGACATAAGTATACCAAGTTTGCAG